TGTTCCTCCCAGGTGCATTCAGTGGCAACGGTGGTGTCTGTGAAACTAGAACTACCAGAAAGTCTCTTTCACAAGGGGCAAGGCCCGCAGGAGGAGGAGCGGGCATTCAGTGTATCATCTCGCTCTCTCTCTCTCTCTCTCTCTCTCTCTCTCTCTCTCTCTCTCTCTCTCTCTCTCTCTCTCTCTCTCTCTCTCTCTCTCTCTCTCTCTCCCTCTTTTTCTCCCTCACCCTAAATTCGAAACCCTCTCCCTCCCCAGGTGCATTCAGTGGCAACGGTGGTGTCTGTTAAGCTAGAACTACCAGAGAGTCTCTTTCAGAAGGGGCAAGGCCAGCAGGAGGAGGAGAGGGAAGGCCAGGCCGTAGCAGACGCCATCAACGCGCATCTGCCCCCCTCCATTCGTGTGTTTGGCGCCGTGCCCGTCACCAAGTGAGTCTCCTCTCTCCTCGCGATTCACTCTGTCAGTCCTCTGTCTGCCTGTTCACTGGTATGAGGTGCGAGCAACTGCGACAGCAGCAGCAGCAGCAGCAGCAGCAGCAGCAGCAGCAGCAGCAGGAGGAGGAGGAGAGGGAAGGCCAGGCAGTAACTGACGCCATCAACGCCCATCTGCCCCCCTCCATTCGTGTGTTTGGTGCCGTACCAGTCACCAAGTGAGTCCCGTTCTCAGCACACCTTCTCTTCTCACCACTCATTCACTCCTCTGTGTGCCCACTAGAAGGAGGAGCAGGTGCCAGGCTGTAGCAGACGCCATCAATGCCCATCTGCCCCCTTCCATTCGTGTGTTTGGCGCCGTACCAGTGACCAAGTGAGTGCCCTTCTCAGCACACCTGCTCTTCTCCCCCCTCATTCAGTCCTCTGTGTGCCCACTAGAAGGAGGAGCGGGAAGGCCAGGCTGTAGCAGACGCCATCAATGCCCATCTGCCCCCTTCCATTTGTGTGTTTGGCACCGTGCCCGTCACCAAGTGAGTGCCTTGTGCTCTCACCGCTCACTCGTATCCTGTGTGCACAAGGCAGTGAGCAGTTGCTGACGCCATCAACCAACACGCATCTGCCCCACTCCATACGTGTGTGTATGGCACCGTTCCCATCACCAATTGAGTTCCCTTCCCTGATGCACTCGGTCAGACCCCTGTGTGTTCCGCGCCGTGCCCGACACCAAGTGAGTTTCTAACTGCCTTGTCTCAGCAACTCACTTGGTCACTCAGTGAGTTCCCTTCCCTGCTCTCTTGTTGCAATGCTCTCTGTCACACCCCTGTGTGTTCCGCGCCGTGCCTGTCACTAAGTGAGTTCCTAAATGCCTTGTCTCAGCAACTCACTTGGTCACTCAGTGAGTTCCCTTCCCTGCTCTCTTGTTGCAATGCTCTCTGTCACACCCCTGTGTGTTCCGCGCCGTGCCTGTCACTAAGTGAGTTCCTAAATGCCTTGTCTCAGCAACTCACTTGGTCACTCAGTGAGTTCCCTTCCCTGCTCTCTTGTTGCAATGCTCTCTGTCACACCCCTGTGTGTTCCGCGCCGTGCCTGTCACTAAGTGAGTTCCTAAATGCCTTGTCTCAGCAACTCACTTGGTCACTCAGTGAGTTCCCTTCCCTGCTCTCTTGTTGCAATGCTCTCTGTCACACCCCTGTGTGTTCCGCGCCGTGCCTGTCACTAAGTGAGTTCCTAAATGCCTTGTCTCAGCAACTCACTTGGTCACTCAGTGAGTTCCCTTCCCTGCTCTCTTGTTGCAATGCTCTCTGTCACACCCCTGTGTGTTCCGCGCCGTGCCTGTCACTAAGTGAGTTCCTAAATGCCTTGTCTCAGCAACTCACTTGGTCACTCAGTGAGTTCCCTTCCCTGCTCTCTTGTTGCAATGCTCTCTGTCACACCCCTGTGTGTTCCGCGCCGTGCCTGTCACTAAGTGAGTTCCTAAATGCCTTGTCTCAGCAACTCACTTGGTCACTCAGTGAGTTCCCTTCCCTGCTCTCTTGTTGCAATGCTCTCTGTCACACCCCTGTGTGTTCCGCGCCGTGCCTGTCACTAAGTGAGTTCCTAAATGCCTTGTCTCAGCAACTCACTTGGTCACTCAGTGAGTTCCCACTTGCCTCGCCTCAGCAACTCACTTGGTCACTCATCCAAAAGGGCGTGGGCGTGTGTGAGTCGGTCGGACATACCATTACCTGCTGCTCTGTTGCCCTGCGCACCTGTGGCTCTCTTCTCCCCTCCATTGCAGGAGCTTTTCTGCCAGAAGGGCGTGTGTGAGTCGGTCGGTCATACCATTACCTGCTGCTCTGTTTTGAGTCGACTCAAAGCACAGCTTCTCGGCCAGAAGGGTGTGTGTGAGCCGAACCCACCACTACCTGCTGCTTGCTGCATCTGATGGTTACACTTTTCGCTCTTTCTCTCTCTATCCCCTCCCTCCCTGCAGGAGCTTTTCTGCCAGAAGGGCGTGTGTGAGCCGCACCTACCACTACTTACTCCCTGCTGATCTGCTGCTGCTGCTGCTAATGGTTACACTGTTCTATACCCCTTTTCCCCTCCCTCCCTGCAGGAGTTTCTCGGCCAGAAGGGCGTGTGTGAGCCGCACCTACCACTACCTGCTGCCCTGGTGCCCTGCTGCCCTGCTTCCCGCTTACCTGCTCACCTGCTGCCGTCTCTACTTCCCCTCCCTGCAGGAGCTTTTCGGCCAGAAGGGCATGTGTGAGCCGCACCTACCACTACCTGCTGCCTGCTGATTTGCTGCCTGCTTGCTACCCAACCCTCTCTCCCTCACCCCCTTTCCCACTCCCTCCCTACAGGAGCTTCTCAGCCAGGAGGGCGTGTGTGAGCCGCACCTACCATTACTTGCTGCCTGCTGATCTGCTGCGCTGCTCACCTGCTACCCTGCTGCCCTGCTCACCTGCTCACCTGCTCACCTGCTACCCTGCTACCCTGCTGCCCTGCTTCCCGCTCACCTGCTCACCTGCTGCTGTCTTGCCCCTCCCCTCCCTGCAGGAGCTTCTCGGCCAGGAGGGCGTGTGTGAGCCGCACCTACCACTACCTGCTGCCTGCTGATTTGCTGCTTCTGCTGCCTGCTGCCTCTGATGGTTACACTCTTCGCTCTTTCTCTCTCTATCACCTGGTTTGCCTCAGGAGCTTCTCAGCCAGGAGAGCGTGTGTGAGCCGCACCTACCACTACTTGCTGCCTGCTGAGCTGCTGCTGCCGAGGAGCAGCAGGAGGAGGAGAGGACTGGGAGAGGGGGTTGGAGAAGAGGAAGGGAAGCGTGAGGAGGAGGAAGAGGAAGAGGAGTTGGGGAGGCGTTTGAAGAAGTTTCAGCAGATACTGAACACATTCGAGGTGAGAAATGGGAGGAGGAGGACACTGGGAGGGATGGTGGGAGAAGCGGAAAGGAAGCGTGAGGAGGAGGAGGAAGAGGAAGAGTTGAGGAGGCGACTGAAGGAATTTCAGCAGATACTGAACACATTTGAGGTGAGGAGTGGGAGGAGGAGGGGAGTGGAAATGAGGGCGGGGGAAGAGGAAGGAAAGAGTGATGATGAGGGAGAGGCAGAGGATTTGGGGAGGCCACTGGAATTTCAGCAGATACTCAACACGTTTGAGGTGAGAAATGGGAGGGAGAGGGGAGACTGAAAGGGGGAGTGGGAGAAGAGGAAGGGAAGCATGATGATGAGGGAGAGGCAGAGGATTTGGGGAGGCCACTGGAGTTTCAGCGGATACTCAACACGTTTGAGGTGAGAAATGGGAGGAGGAGGGGACTGGAAAGGGGGTGGGAGAAGAGGAAGGAAAGAGTGATGTTGAGGGAGAGGCAGAGGAGTTGGGGAGGCCACTGGAGTTTCAGCGGATACTCAACACATTTGAGGTGAGGACTGGGAGGAGGAGGGGACTGGAAAAGAGGGTGGGGAAAGAGGAAGAGGAAGAGGAGCTGGGGAGACAACTGGAGGAGTTTTAGCAGATACTTAACACGTAACTCACTCAGCAGGGGGTTGTGATATTTGTTCGTGATTGATGCCTATGCCATAAACTCACCCTGAACACGAGATCGGACCTAGACTTCATTGTTTCTTGTTCCCGTACCTCAAACTCTGTTAGCCTTTATGCATGTCAGCTTTTATGCTTGATTATTTTCTTGTTTCTTTTTTAGGTGACTCTGTTAGCTAAACCCTGGTAACAGCGTACGCAACTTGTAAGTCGTTTACTGGCACATTCCAGGACGTACATATAATAATATTACACAAAATTGTAAACAATGCAACATGGCACAATAATAAGGAAAATCTCTAACCCTGCATATGGGGGGCTGGCCCGACCCGACCCGACCCGACCCGGCCCCGACCCGGCCCGACCCGGGGGCGGGTCACGCCTGACGCGGCCCTTGATACCCAGGTCGGGCCAGAGATCTGTGAAGTTCTGACCCGACCCGACCCGACCCGGAACCCGGCTGGCCCGCCCAAGTCGGGTCGGGTCGGGTCGGGCCTAATGATCATGCCTGGTGCCACTTCTGCTTCTGCTTCTGCTATCGGAATTGTGCTTCCATGTTCCTCAGCATTTGCTTTCCGTATCGCTCCTTCCGGCGAGTTTAGGGCAAGCATGCCTTTTGAGGCGCCTCAAAAGTCCTTCCGTCCAGTCCAGGGCAAGCATGCCTTTCACTAACTACACTGTGAGGCTGCTTAATCGTGAGAGCAAGTATAGCGAGGATGAGGGAGGATGAGGCTGCCTTTACTCTCTATCAGTGTAATGTGTTTTCTAGGCTGCTTTTATTCTCTATCAATGTAATGTGTTTTCTAGGCTGCCTTTATTCTCAAAAACACTCTACATCGGGAGGAGGAGGCTGCCTTTACTGTCTATCAAGATCGTGTTTTTCTGCACTTCTTCCCCGCACTCGTCCCCCCCCTTCCCCCCACCCCACACCCCAGGGCAAGCACACGTTTCATATCTACACAGTGAGGCGGCTGTATCGCGAGAAGCAGAAGAAGAGAGCTGGGGAGGAAAGCAGCCGGCTGAATTTACTTGGGCAAGATTGTTCTTTCATGTCATTACCATTCCTCTGCTTTTGCTTGCCCTTCTCTCTCCCCCAGGGAAAGCATGCCTTTCACAACTATACTGTGCGGAGGCTGTATCGTGAGAAGCAGAAGAAGAGAGCTGGGGAGGAGAGCGAGGAGAAGGAAGAGGGAGAGAGGGGGAGAGATGGCGGCGACAGAAGGCTGAGAAGCGGAGGGGCGTGGGGTAGAGGCAGGGAGAGAGAAAGGGGAGCAGGAAGGGAGGAAGGGGAGGTGGAGGGAGACAGAGGGGATGGTGGAGAGAGGGCGAATGGCAGCGACAGAAGGCTGAGAAGCGGAGGGGCGTGGGGGAGAGGCAGGGGGAGAGAATGGGGAGAAGGAAAGGAAGAAATAAAGGTGGTGGCAGGTAAAGAGTTAAGCGATTTGGAGGAAGATGGAGCAGTGATGACAGTTGAAAGAGAGGCTGAGAGGATTGAGAGAGTTCAAACCAAGTTTGTTGCAGGCGGGTTGAACTGTGGCTTGGGAGACAAAGGAGGGGTGCAAAAGGGGGCGAATATAGTAGAAGGGGTAGGGGAGCAAGAGGGGAAGGGGGAGGAGAGGGCAGAGAGGGCGGAGAGGGCGGGGAGGAAAGCAGTGTGGTTGCAGGAGACGGATAAGAGCGACAAAATCAGTACGGCGCATTTCAGAACCATTGAGACTTGCACGGTGCTGCCGTGGATTGAAGAGGGCGTGTTTGATGGGAGCAGATTTGATGGGAGCGGTTTGGAAAAGGGAGGAGGAGGGGAAATGGAGGGGCAGGAGCGGCGGAGATTCGTCCGCGTTGTAATTCGAGGAGAGTCGTTTATGCTTCACCAGGTGAGAGGTGGAGGGGGAGGGGGGACTGAGGCGATGTGACACAGCAGCAGTGGCTGGGCTTTGTTCGGGTTGTGATTCGAGGAGAGTCGTTTATGCTGCACCAGGTGAGGAGGAGGGAAGAGAGGGGGAAAGGGGGGAGAGAGGGGGAAGGGATGCGGAAGCAGTGGGGGAGGCAGGGGAGAATGGCAGAGATTCGTCCACGTTGTGATTCGCGGAGAGTCGTTTATGCTTCACCAGGTGAGGAGTGGAGGGGGGAGGGGGTGGTGTGATATGGCAGCAGTGGCTGGGCTTTGTTTGGTTGTGATGTGAGGAGAGTCTTTCATGCTGCACCAGGTGAGGGGTGAAAGGGGGAGGAGGAGGAGGAGGAGGAGGAGGAGGAGGAGGAGGAGGAGGATGGGGGGCTGAGAGGGTGTGATACGGCAGCAGTGGCTGTGTTTTGTTGGCGCTGTGATTCGAGGAGAGTTTTTCATGCTGCACCAGCAGTGCTGCACGGAGCCTTCCCCCCTTCCATGCTGCTGCCCTCCCTCGCCCGCCACTCCCGCGTCGTGCTGCCCCTCGCTCCCACTTCCCGCCCCCACTCATGCCATAAATGGGTCCAAGCACTTGGTCCAAGCACATAAATGGGTCTTGTTTCAGGCCGTTTGGAGGCATTTCAAAGGCAGCCTTGATGCATCAAGACACTCACCCACTTCCCTCCTTTTCCCCGCTCACGCCTCCTTCTTTCTCAGATCCGCAAGATGGTGGGAACGGCATTAGCCATCCTGCACGGTGCCATTCCCCCCTCCATGCTGCTGCCCTCCCTCGCCCGCCACTCCCGCATCGTGCTGCCCCTCGCTCCGCCCCAAGGCCTCCTATTGGCCGACTGCTCCTTCATGCCCTTCCGGGCGCCGAAGCTGCCCGGAAACAAATCTTCCTCCTCTGCTGCTGAACTCGATGCTTCTCAGTCCATCACGCCTCTAGAAGCTGAATCAACAGACCGTCTCAAGCAGCAGCAGCAGCAGCAGCAGCAGCAGCAGCAGCAGCAGCAGGAGGAGGAGGAGGAGGCTGCAAGGCTATACACTCAGTGGCACTGTCTTGAATCCCCTCGCGAAATTGCCGGCACCAACACACAAAACACCCTCCGTATGTCCCCTGCCGTGTGCGAGAGAGTAGAGGCATTCACTGAAAGGCACATTTTACCAGCCATGCTGCAGTGGGTGGATGCTGAGGGGGAGCCGTGGAGTGGGTGGGAGGAGAACCTTTTAGCGTACCAGTGGGTATCTGAAGAAGAGGAGAGGGAAGTGGTGGAGGGTTATACCAAGTGGAAGCAGGGGAGAGCGGACAGAGGCTACTAGTACTGACTCCCTACTCCTAGCAGCACATATGACCAGCCATGCTTTCGAGAATTCTCTAACGTACCAAGTGGAAGCAGGGGAGAGCGGACAGCGGACAGAGGGTACTAGTACTGACTCCCTACGTTCAGCGGCACCTATCACCAGCCATGCTGCAGTGGGTGCATGCTGAGGGGCAGCAGTGAAGCAGCTGGGAGGGACAGAGCGGGTGGGAGAGTGTGGTGCTGCTGCCAGCCATGCTGCAGTGGGTGCATGCTGAGGGGCAGCAGTGAAGCAGCTGGGAGGGACAGAGCGGGTGGGAGAGTGTGGTGCTGCTGCCAGCCATGCTGCAGTGGGTGCATGCTGAGGGGCAGCAGTGAAGCAGCTGGGAGGGACAGAGCGGGTGGGAGAGTGTGGTGCTGCTGCCAGCCATGCTGCAGTGGGTGCATGCTGAGGGGCAGCAGTGAAGCAGCTGGGAGGGACAGAGCGGGTGGGAGAGTGTGGTGCTGCTGCCAGCCATGCTGCAGTGGGTGCATGCTGAGGGGCAGCAGTGAAGCAGCTGGGAGGGACAGAGCGGGTGGGAGAGTATGGTGCTGCTGCCAGCCATGCTGCAGTGGGTGCATGCTGAGGGGGAGCCGTGGAGTGGGTGGGAGGAGAACCTTTTAGCGTACCAGTGGGTGTGTGAGGAGGAGGAGGAGAGGGCAGTTGTCGAGGGGTTTGAGTGGAAGCAGGACAGAGCAGAGAGGGGAGTACTGAGGCTGCAACGCTGCAGGGTTTTGCTAGTGGAAGCTGGTGCAGGGTGGGGGGCAGCTGTGGGGAATCTGCTGGGTTACTAGTGGTAGAGAGGGGTATGCGAAGTGGAAGCAGGGCAGAGCAGAGAGGGGGGTACAGTACAGTGCTGCGGCGCTGCTGGTTTTGGCTGGTGGAAGCTGGTGCAGGGTGGGGGGCAGCTGTGGAGAATCTGCTGGGTTACTAGTGGTAGAGAGGGGTATACTAAGTGGAAGCAGGGCAGGGGAGAGAGGGGGGTACTGGTGTCGCAGAATGGTGGAGGGCAGGCGAGCAGGTAACCTACTGGTCTAGTAGTGGGTGTCTGCACAGGAAATTAACAAACTATTTGCAGCGGTGATGATTAAGATTTGTTGTGCTATTGAGGCATTGCAGCAGTTTTTACAATGAGAATCTATTCACAAAAGGAATGGGACGTGATGAAGCATCCGTCCTGAAGAATACAATCAGGGCGCAGCATGAAGTTCTGTTGGATTCAGAAGTTGATTGGAGCATATGACAACCACTGTGGGGTGATAACTTATTTCTCATTATGTACATGACAAACAAGGTGTAACACCATGAAGAAATATCTGCTCTGATGAAGCATCCAGCCCCCTTTGGAACTGGCAACTCACGACAAGAGATATTCCTAGTGACCTAATGCGCCTGTTAGAGGCGACAGCATAGCTGGTGGCATCTACACTAACTTGTATTTGCTTGATAGTGAGTTGCAGCACAGCAAACTGTAACGGGTTACTCAAAAGTGTCCGCTGAAACCGTAAAACTGCTGAATCCGCTGAAGATGCGTCTGAAGTTCGCAACGCCAAGAATATAATTTATTGGCACGGAGATTCGAACCCTGCACTCAGGCTCACGTGCCTCCGCAGCGACGAATTCGCAAGCGCAGCAACTCGCGGGGAAGCGGCGGAAGCCGTGCGCGGGGTAAGCGGAGGCTGACGCGCGCCCAGCGCAGCTACGAGCGGGGATCCGGGTCGCAGAAGAGCAGGCGTTTGCTGAGCGCGGGGAGAAGCTGATGCGCCAGCTTGCGCGCGCGCGGAAGCGTGGCGCGGAGATCTGTGGCGCGGAGAGCCGCGCAACCGGGAAGGGCTACCGTGAGAAGCCGCGTTTCCGCCATGACCCTGCACGCGTGGGGAGCACGACGTAGGTTCGTCGTAAAAGCTAAGATCGTCCCTCCATGTTTGGTTGCCAGGCGATGGATGAACGTCGAGCGACATATGCCGGAAAAGCCGCCGCGATTCGCGCCTCGATCGATCCAACGGCTCAATGCCGCTCCGCATCAACCTCTGCTCACCGTCAGCGCCGCCGCCAGGTACGGCGTCCCCGCCGACAGAGGACCTCGCACCGGATTTTACCGCACTGACTGCGGATTTCGCGGCGAGTTTGGCGGCGGCTTCTTCTTGCTCGGCGAGCAGCGAGGATTGGATCATCTCGATGAAGCCTTGGCATCGGACGGCTGAGAGCTCTCGCTGGATCTGCAGCAGCTGCAGCTTGCCTTCCAGCGCCGCCATTTCGACCGCGCCGAGAGTGCTGCGGATCGCGTTTGACGGCGCGATGTCAATTCCATTGTTTGGTTGTGCTTGTAAGTGAGTTCTAACGCCAATGGCGGTCTGCGAAGCCATTGAAGTCTTGTCGGTGAAGCCAACACCGCACACACGGCGCACGAAGCCAACTGAGCTCTCGACGTTACTAAATCGCTGAGTATTATCGACGTTTACTGCTGCTTTATTAGTACTACTAGTAGTAGTATTGCCAGTCGCGGCAACAGGAAGTCGACAGCTTGCAACGCGAGACACCGGAATCTAATGCGTCGTTCCGGAACTCCCTGGAGGATCCTGCGATCAACAGAGGAGAAGCAGCTAGCCTAGCTGAGGTTGCTTGCTAGAATATGGTGGACAAAAGAAACTGTTCGTCACGTCGCTTTTTATGGACGTGAGGTTGGGACAGGGAGTGATTGTTTGTGTGACACTCACGTCTCACAAAACCACTCCGCGCCGAAAAACATCGTGTGTGTGAGGTGGGGAGGATCTGGGGGAGACAGACAGCCGCACGCGGAATCTGGCAGCCAGCTTGCCGCGGATGTTGGCTGGGGGGAGCGGACAAGCCGCCAGGGGCAAGTGCGGCTAGCGGAAAGCACGAATCAGGCTTTTTGCCTCTGGTGAGTGTATGAATAATGAAGGCTCCTAAAATTACAGTGTATCATCATGAGGCTAATCGTGTGCCATCCGAGAAATTTCATGTTTTCCTACTGTGATTGAAGAAAATATCCATGGTTTCCCCTCCCTCATAGAATCTCCCGTAACGCACAAATGTCTGGGTCACAGGAGGGAAAAGAACGAGACTGCTGTATTTGCAGAGCTGAAACGAATCTGGCTTGCTTTTGCGGGCATGTGTATGAGTAGGGGACGAAAGACAAGCATGATCAGAATCCCAAGGCCAGCCAACATCCCGTTTCCGCACAGCGCTGCCATCGCCGCGTTCCGATTCGACAAAAACCTACAGATCAAACGAAGGTGGTGGAGCGACCAGTCGCGTCGCGAATTGCTTGAGACGGGCTGGGCTTCATGTTTGGGTATTGCATGATGCCAGGAATCTGGTCGGTGACAGGGTTTATGGGGATGGGGGAGGGTAACGTTATCGCGCATACGTTTTACGACACGTGGCGCATCACCATGAACGAGAGGTGGCCAATGTCTCCCTCAACGAAGCCTCCTGCTAGGCGACGTCATTTACGGCTCAGATCAAAAGTGTGTGAGGCGGAGTAACGCTTCCATTTCCGTCAGGTAAGATTTGTGGAGCTTCCCCGAATGTAGATTCGCAGGGATATTCATGCGACACTATGCGACCGTTGCGGCTGAAGCTTACGACATCGGCTCGGCAGCTCTAGAGAGCCTGGTGACGAATTCGAGGAAGGTGCGTCATCAATCGCCTTTACACGTCAAACGTCATCAGAAATGTAACTGCTACGGGAACCTGTGATGCCTGCACCATTTGATGACGTTGCGCAAGGAATGGTGAACAGCGAAGCTGATGGAAGATGGGTTGATGTAGGAGCACGTGCAGCTTCCTGCCCGCTGCCCGAACAGTTGAATTTGGCCAGTTTTACACAGTATTGTACAGTGTACGGATTGAATCATACTTGTCCAGGTGCGGAAACGATGTAGCTTTTGGCTCAAAAAGCAGAACCACATTGGGTGAGTGCCTTCACTCGTTCTTTTGGAAATCACACTTTCTGTTACGTTACTACCGCCCCTGGGCAGCATAATCTTTGCTCTCGAAACTGCTCACGCCTTCCTGCACACGTGTCGATCACCACAAATGCTGCACACCTTGCTTCTCGCCATTGTGGAACTGGTTATACGTATAGATCTGAATGTTGAAACTCATCTCACCTAAGAGCGCAAGAACTCGTTTGGCTTAAAGCGACGGGCAACTTTTGGAAGTGTTGGGTTCATAAGTTTTTTTTTTTGAACCAGGCTTGCCAGCGCGAAAGTGTTGGCTGGCGAAAACCAGGATTTCGTGCAGACACTTTTCATCTGCAGTAACAGTTCGCCAGGGTTCTGGGTTTTGGGTGGCAAATGTGCACCGTCGCTTTAAGCAGTATCTCAATTGAAGTTATATCTGGCAAGCAGTGTGTAATGCAGAGTATAATATGCAATTATAAAAAGATCAGCCTTCTATAGTTCCCTGCTCCATCAGCCATGAATTCGGCAACCGCAAATTGCCGTGCTAAGCCAATGCTGCTAAGCTAAATCAGAGAGTCACATCCGAAGAACAATTCTGCATACGGTACATCATTTGTATAGTGGCGTCAGCAGCAGCTGGTGGTGGTGGGGGCCAAGCCAACCATAATGGCACTCCAGGCAACTAAAGGACAGGGGGAGTGCAATGCCTTGGGAAATCTACACTGGCCCTAAGTGATGGCCAGGATGTGTATGTATGTCAATGGGAGTTGTTGAGAAAACCATGGTTGGATGGAGTGAGGTTGAGGCAGATGGCTGGTGTGGTGTGCCTTCAGCCTTTCTTTGCAAAGAAAATCGGCACCTCACGCTATCAGTGATTTTCCTTCGCAAATTACTCCGCCATAGCGAATGTGTCGAGGCTGCTGTTCACGCTCACATGGCGCCGCAGCAATCTTGCCATCCTTCGCTCACGGTAACCAGGTACTTTTCGCGTGGTCTCTAAGCCCACTTCGCGAGAGCTCCTGCTGCTCGCTCCGTCCCCTGCGACCGTCGCCAGTGGCGACCCTTTCCGCGGCGATCCCTCTTCCCGTGAGTCCAAACCACCCTGTGGTAACTCGAGAGCCGTTGATTCGCACAGAGGGTCGAGAGCCGTTGATTCGCACGTAGATTGCAGGGGAAACTCGGCGCTTCGGGACCCACTTTTAGGCGAACTGCGGCGTGACCAACGCTTATTAGTATTAGCGGGGTGCGCTGCAGCGGGACGGGGATTGTCGTAAAAGCTTAGGTCATCTCGCAAGCTCGGAACGAACGCCGATCTTCCAGCCACCGCGGCGCCGCCGCCGCTGCCGCTCGGACCGCTATCAGAAGGCTTGCAAGGCCCCGAAAAAGCCGCACATCTTCCGCTTCCGCCGCAGTGCATGCTAGAACAGCACGCAGCAGATTTCGACCTAGGGATTGCCGATCTTCGAGACGAAGTGTCCGTTCCGAGGTCTTTCCGCGCCGCAGCCGTTGGATTCAGCGTCCTACCGCCGATCGACGGTCCGCTTTTGCTGCTACCAGATTTTGCGGACTGCTTTTCGCTGCCCCATCGGAAACCCCAAAAGTCGCGTCGCGATTTGTCTTGGTACTGCCGCCTTAGGCGGAGCAGGTCGCGTGTTTCGCGCTGGCTCAGCCCGAGTTCTCCCGTCTCTGCCGTCGCTCCCGGCGATGCCTTCGTTGCCGTTGTTGCCGCTATGTCACAACGGTCTGATGCTGCACCGATTGGGGGAGGGTTCTCTTCAGGCGCCGCGGCGAGCCCTCCAGGCTCGAGTTTCCGAAGCTCCGACGCGCGAGGCTCGGATAGCAGAAGCTCCGACCCGCAAGGGTTTGAACCTCCTGCTGCGAAGGTAGTAGTTCCGGCGGGGGACTCGTCCAGATTGCATTCCTCCATGGACGACCAGGACCGTTCGATCAAGTACACAAACTCCTGGCATCGGACGGCGCTCAGCTCTCGCTGCGTATCCAAAATACGAAGCTTCCCCTGCAGCGCCTCCAGCTCCAGCTCCTCCGCCAGGGAGCGCGGGGAGAGCTTCCCTGCCGCGCGCAAACTGGCGCACCCGGGGGAAGAGCTTGCGGCAGAGCTTCCGTCGCTCCGCGCGCGCCGTCTTTCCGCCTGTGCCGCGGATTTTCCGCCACTTCGGAGAGTCTCCCCGTGGAGCGGAGGGGAGATGGACGGCAGTGGAACCTCCGATGAAGCAGCACTGGAACCAATCAAATGATTTGATTTGATCGTTTCCGCGGTATCAATGGTATCATCGATATCGCTGATTGCGTCCATCGAATTAGTAGCACCACTGAGGAAAGTGCTTACTGATAACTCTGCTGCTTTGGCGGATACTATTGTCGTTGCGTGTTGGATGCTAGGCGGGTGAACCGATGTCGCAGCCATGTACGAGCTTTGGAACTTATGAACTTGGATGGGAATCTCCGAACAAAAAGACTCCGAGTCGCCTCGAGAATGCTGATGACGCGATAAGAGGGACTGCTTCGGAGTGAAGTAAGTTCTTTCTAGATTTTGATTGTCAGGCGGCTCGAAGGGTGGGGGAGGGGGGGCTATCGTCAGGCCACTCTAGTAAGCTTCGGAACCTGGTCACTCGATGTTGAGAATATCTGACGCCTATTTCTCACTTTATATAGCTAGAGCTGACTTCAGATTTAAGACTGTCGACAACCGTGGCGTCAGCAAAGCTAGAAAGCTGACAAACTGCAATAAAGCCGATACGTAACGGAAACCAGACTGACTTTTCGTCTTCTTTCGCCACTTGAAGCTATCACTAGAATGTTCCGCTATGCTGCTAAATCTACCTCAGATGTTGCCAGGCTGTCTCCGATACTATCGGATTTTAAGGACGCCGAACCCCGCAAGCCTCTTTGAGTCTAGATGCTTTAGTTCTCGGCTAAGAAACTATAGTGCTGAGGCGCTTGGCTGCAGGTATGGCTGAAGGTATGCTGCTCGCGTGCCTCGCCAGCGATTTGTATTCCAACACATGCCCTGCTAAATAAGCTCCTTTCCGAAGTCGGTATATTCCCCGCGTTTGCCGGCTTAGCTGGCATGGACCAGACTGCGTGCGGTCCTCGTGTTTCCTAAACAGAGGGAAAATAATTCGGAAGACCAATGAGAGCGAGCGCACGACTTGTGCGGCTTCGTACGCTGCAGCAATGCATTCCCCTTGGTCTCCCTCACCTCACATCATGGTACGTAGTTTTCCTCGTTGCAGTGGAAAAAAAAATGCGAATTGCGAAAGGCGAATAGTTCTGAGGAGTACGTGCGCGTCGCAGGTTGCCAGCCTGGCTATCGATGTACAGTAGAGGCAGTCTTAAGGGGAGTAAGCTGGACGACGCGGCGCGTGCGTGGGCATAAACGGGGGTTTCGCGGCAATCAACGCGGCGTGACGTCATTTAGCGTACATCATGGGGTTGTGCGGCAGAGCTTTTTTCTTTACACGCGGAGCTGCCACACGCGTGGCCACAAGAAAAAAAAAAAAAACAAGAAAAATTCCCAATGTTTGTACAGTTCTGTGGGTGGCTCGCTCCCCCCAGCGTTCAGCTCACGTCGTTCCGGTTCTTGAGATTTGGAGCGGCGGCAAGCGCTGCACTGCAGAGCGGGGAGCAATGCAGAGAGCAATGCTGCTTGCTTGACAAATTACTCGACTGTGGTGTGGTGGCGTGGTTGTGGGGCGAGGGAGGGGAGTAGGGAAGGAGGAAAGGGGCTCAAATCGGGATTCGGGCGGGACGGGAAGGCGGGGTGACTGACGAGTAACGAAAGGGAAATGCTGCTGCCTTGCACGAGATCCATGTCGTGAACTCGCGGTCGTGTTCGTTGTGATGGACGTACTCGTATTAGAGATGCTTCAACTGGAAAGGCAGAGAGCGGCTGCTGAATGGGGAGGAGGTGAAACGACAGTACCAATTTTGAAAGGCAAAAGCTTTTGAGAATGGGTAGGGGCGAAATTGGAGGGCGGAGTAGCACCAAGCCGTGGCAGAAAATGGAAGCAGGTTGAACTGCACTTAGCGCACTGCATGCTCTTGAAACAGTCAAAAGTGAGGATGGTGTCGTTCCACGAACGATTTATAATGGAAATGATCCCCGGGTTCATGATTGAAAACACGCCTTTTACAGTGCCTTTTACTGACAGGCAATGCCCAACTGGTGCTCGATTGGTTCCAAGCGAACAAGCGAGTGTTGAAGGTGGCACGACACGAAGTCATTGGTCTGTACTGTATAGCAATTTGTAATCTCACACGCGGAGCCAATCAAAATTGACATTGAGCTGTAAGTAGTGATCCCGCAACGTCGTGTCAGATACTTTGTGTCACTGAATGTACGGCCCAGATGATGATCGACGAGTCAAGGATGAGTCGTCCTCAGTCAGAACTTGAGATTTGAAGAGTGCAACATTTTCGAGCTGCAAGATATCGTTTCGGCAGAGCTGCGAGAGAACGTCACTTCACGACGAGCGAAGACTGGTGTCGTACGAAGAGCGTTACTGACGATTTGCAACAGGTTGCCCGTTTCGTGCTTGCTATTGGACACAGCATGATTTCCTCACCTTCGGGAAAGATGCGAACATCGCAACGTGAAACGAGTTGGCTGCATCTGTCTGGGTGGGGCATTCTCTGCTGATTCCAGTCTGGTCAAAGTGATTAGTAGAAATGAAGTGCAATGCTACACCTGTTTATTAAGTACCACGTCATAAAAATGCCACAACTTCTATGAAGGTCCCCATCCTAGCTTCAGTGTTTGGCGTCCCTCTTGAAACGGACACAATTTGGAAAGGTCTTCTACAATCAGGGCCAAGCATTTGCTCGTGGAATCGATTACAAATCAGGATAGTGACTTTTCAATCTAAAGTGGATGTATCTTGTTGACAAGTTCACAACATTGAATTAGCATGGCCTCCATATACCAGTGAACTTGCAGTGAGCGGTACATAAACCCCAACAATAATGCCCTTCAATTTTACGTTCAACAATGAAATAAACACCCGAAGAGGGGGAGGGGGAGGGGGAGGGGGAGGGGGAGGGGGAGGGGGGGGGAGGGGGAGGGGGGAGGGGAAGGGGAGGAAGAGGGGGGGGGGGGTGAGGGGGGGGAAGGAGGGGAAGGCAGCAATATGTGCCCAAGCCAACAGAAGAAATGAATCCCCATCCCATAATACATGTTGGAAACAATAAGACCTAAGCGCTTCAGTCGTGTCGAAAACACCGCATCAGAAGCGAGGCAAACTACACCGAAGCACCCGCGAGTCAACCCTCGGGGGTTGAAGAGGCTGCTGGAGGTTACGCGAAGGTCAAAGGTCGCTGACCTTTGACCCGACAAGTACAGCGCGACAGTTAAGGACATACAACTGACTCGTTACAGAGCAGTTGCCCGAGTCGTACTGTATCGAACCGCAACAGCAACAGTAAAAGTAGTTATAACCGTATCCTTTGATATTCCTTACACCACTATATATTCTTGTACTTTCCTGTTATAATTAATCTACTTTGCCCTCACATACTAGCGCAAGGTGGTTCACAATTACTTCACTAAAAGCTTCCGCTATTACAATTGTCCTACCCAGAGTTCTCCCCTGAAAAGATCCTAAGGGGCTATCTCAGCCCAACATGGTATGAGAGCGGTCAGGGGAAATTCTACCTCTTCAATTCAAAGACATTACAAGACATGGCAACAAACAAGGAGAGGAGCTCTTCTAATGGCTCCCCGGGGACTACTCCTACACCACCTCCTGCCTCTGGCCTGCAGACAGAGGAAGGCACAGCAACAAGACCTAGGGGAACGTCCACCGAGACTCTCACAAATCGCCCCACGGGCTTTGACCAGAGCATGATGGAGAAGTTTTTCTCCTTCATGTCCTTCTACGAGCAGCACCAGCAGTCGGGACCTGCACAGACACACAACAGCAACAACGGAGTGACACCCATGAGCCTTGATGGGTCGTCATACGCGCGCGGAAATCAACAGCAGCAACCTACCTTCGCCCCGTACGAACGCGGGTCAATCAGCTTCATGCCGCAGTCTTCGCCTGCACAAGACAAATCACTGGACGCGTTACAAGTACAGTCGCAATTCGCACACGTTTTGAAGCTTCAGACGTCAAGACCATTCGACGGAAAGGACTTCTTCACCTGGTCCTTTGAGTTCGAGTTGATGATGGAGGGCGCGCAGATACTTGGCTTCTTCGACGGGTCCCTGCAATATCCAGCAAACGGCACACAGTATGAGAAGCAGCAGTACACATATCAATCGATGATGGCGTATACGATCCTACTGAGGAACTTAACACCAACCCAACAGCAGAACATTCGGTCCTACCGGGCCTTCGGCAACTCGGCGGAGCTCGCGTACAACCATCTGAAGAGCCTGTATCAAGCAACAGACAGTGTAAACCAGAGCAGGTTAATGGCGCAGCTGACAACAGTTGAGATGAAACCAGGAGAGAAAGGAATGGCATATATCAGTCGATGTCGCGAACTGCGCGACAAGCTTCTTCGATGTGGAGGATCAATCTCTGAGGACGCCTTCGTGACGGTCATCATCGGTGGCCTCGGCCCTCAGTGGCGCGCAACAAAGGCCATCCTCCGAGCCCACGGACGAATTTCTGAGGCAGCACTCTGCGCCGAAATCCACGCCGAACAGCAGGACATGGATCTGCAAGAAGAACGACACAGGAAGAAGACGACAACGTCAGAGTTCGCATTTCACACCCAACGACGACACAACAACTACAGCAACAGACAACAACAGCCGAAGCCAGTACCTCCCTTCTGTCACATCTGCAAGACTTCAGGGCACCCGCGCACGCACTGCCCGAATCGTCAACAGTCAACGACCCCGCAACGACACCTTCGACCTTCAAGCAGTCAAATTGCGTCAACGCAAGCAAATCCAACGACCCAGATCCAAGCTTCAACAACCTCAACGGGACAACCTGCGCAAGGAGCAAGAAACATCGTTAGCTGCATGGCAAGACTAAGTGACTCTTGCGTCATGGATTCACCACCTCATTACTCACCGGAAGAACAACTCGACAACACCACACCTCGTCGCGAAGCACTTCAACCAAATCCGACATACGCTGCCATCGCCCAAAACGAGCCATCCGGAAAAGACACGTGGTTCTTGGACAGTTGCTGCGGACAACACATGTGTTCTTCGGGACGCTTCGTACAGAGAGAGTATCAGCTTCAACGAGAGGTCGTCATCACCGTCGCCAATAATCAAAACCTGTACACACGACGACAAGGAATTGTACAACTTCAGTCACGGGAGACAAACGTCATTCTGCAAATGTCCAAAGTTTTAATCGCAGAAGGCCTCGGATACAACCTTCTCAGTGTGAGTCAGTTGATGGCGAAAGGCATCCACCTCGAAGCAGACAGCACTACCCAAGAATTCAAGCTGTACCACGGGAGAGGAGGTCTTTACATCGGGAAGGCAATCCTTAAAAACAACGTCTTCGTCTTGGACTTCGTTCCTGATCTCGGCACCGCTGACAGTGACGCCATAGTCAACTTTACCAACTGGACACACCCTCCGGATCTTGACCCCGACTTCAGTCCAGGCGGCTTCTGGTATTCACATACCATTCCTGAAACAGAGAGAACAAGAGCATTAGCAGCGATTCAACAATCGGCAGCAGCAGAGACAACGTCGGCAGCAGCAGAGACAACAACAGCAACAGCGACAACGACGACACCAGTCGCCGGTCCTTCAACGACGGCGCTCTTCAACGACGATGCACCACCAACACCTGCACAACAGCTTCAGCCAGCACCACGAGAATTTCATCACAGTCCCAACTTCACCACCGGTCTCTACTCCAACTCCGACATGTATCAGCGCTCACCCGGTCATCGCGCCAACGAAGAAATCTGGCACGCAAGAATGGGACACCCAAGCAACACTGTGTTAAACAACACAATTCGAGCAGGAGTACTCGACAAGGACTCTCTGCTTTTAACAGACGGCAGAGAACTTCAGCGAGCTCGAGGAACATGCTTCACCTGCCCCGAAGCTGACTTACCGCATCAGCCCTTCGTTTCGCATCACAACCCAAGCGCACCTGCATATGCACCACTCGAGAAAGTATACAGCGACATCTTGTACAACCGCGAACCCGGACAAAACGCGTATAACTACACCATCACCTTCATCGACGCCGCTACACGCTACGTCTGGCACCTAAACTTACCAAGTCGCGACATGGCTTTCGAGGCTTTCGTGGCATGGCTTCCAGCAGCAGAACGGGAATCGGGAGCTAAACTCAAAAGCTTCCAATCAGACGGAGGAGGAGAATACTCGTCACAGCGATTCAAGCAGTACCTGGCGGAGAAGGGAATCAAGAGACTCATCTCCCTTCCCTACGCCCATCAACAGCAGGGTGTAGCAGAAAGGATGAACAGGACTCTGCAGAACACCATGCGCAAACTGTTACGTGGCATGCGGCTACCCAACCACCAGTGGCCCGAAGCAATGGACCACGCCGTGATGCTGCACAACTTGCTTTCTTCGTCGTCACTCCCGAACAACACATCACCGCATCTGCTGTGGACAGGAAAACTGGGCAGCACAAAAATGTTACGAGTCTTCGGCTGCATGGTACAGTACCGACCCCCATCTGCACGAGCCGGCCGATTCTCCCAACGCGCACAGTGGGGACTACACCTGGGCATCGAAAAACATTACAACGCATGGAAGATCTTCGATATCAACAGCAAAGAAACAGTAGCAGCACGTGACGTGATTTTCTACGAACGACTCACACTGCCAACGTACCTTGCCAACCTGGACGAAAATCGAGACCCCACAGGCGGCTTCCGTGGCGATCGAGCCTTCGCTTCGACAGAAGACGAAGCTGACTGGGACGAGCAGAATGTGGAAGGAGCCTCGGAAGAAGCCGGACCTCTTCCCTACTGCTCAGTGGACGTACCGATGGACGAAGAAAACCCTCGCGAAAGCGTCAACGCCGAAACTTACTACCACTTCGCCGACAACGGTTACGTTACACCTGCTGAAGTCAACACCAACGAAGCAGAACGCATAGGGCCCAACTTCGCACCCGATCCAGAAACTGGAGACGAAGCAGTCTATCCCGAGGACACCACACTCCCCCGCTACACACAGAGCGGACTCCAAATCCTTGGTCTCGTCACCGCGGTCCACGGCGTCAACATTCCTAAGGAGCCTGCGACAGTTCAGCAGGCTCTGGGGGGGGAGCATAAGGAAAAATGGCGCGAAGCCATGGACAAGGAGCTGAAGGCATTAGAGGAACGCAACACCTGGAAAGTCGTTCCCATCGGTGTAGCGCGAAACAAGACCATTCTTACCGGGAAATGGGTCTTCCGTGTGAAGACGAAGGCCGACGGCACCATCGACAAGTTTAAAGCACGATGGGTCGTTCGCGGCTTTGACCAGGAACATGGACGAGACTTCACCGAAACCTTCGCTCCGGTCAGCCGCCACACTTCACTTCGAATTCTTCTCGCCATCGCCGCTATGAAGAAAAAGAAACTGCGCCAAATCGACGTCGCAAACGCTTTTCTCTACGCACCGGTCGATGCAGAGATTTTCGTGGAACTACCGCACGGCTCTAATACAAATTCCACGCACGTCTGCCAGCTACTAAAATCGCTTTACGGGATCAAGCAGGCACCGCGACTGTGGCAGCAGTACCTGCATACTCGTCTCATCCGCATCGGCTTCAAACAACTCCCGCACGATCAGGGCATGTACCGCCTCACGAAGAACAGCGACTACATCTTGCTAATTGTCTACGTGGACGATCTTCTCTACATCGGCTCTACCGACAGCATCACCACCTGGTTCGAAGGGGAGCTGCAGAGGGACCTCACCCTCACTGTCTCATCTACCGTCACACAGTATCTCGGACTTAACATTCGAGAAGATAACGACGCGATCTACCTCAGCGCCGAAAAGTACGCCGACGCCATCGCCAAACGATTCGGAATTACGCCAGCCGCGATTTCAACACCATACCGCTACACGACAGGAGCCGATAAGGAATCTACCCCACTTAAATCCGCCGGCATACGCAACTATCAGAGGAAGCTAGGTTGCCTTCTCTTCGCAGCCGTCACTTGCCGACCCGACCTATCCTACTCCGCAAGCCAGCTCGCCACTTATCTCAAGAAGCCTGAAGCAGAACACCTGGCGGAACTTGACCGCGCTCTGCACTACTTTATCAGCACCGCAATGATCGGCTTAACTTATCACAAGAACGCAACTACACCAACCAAGCTAATCGGCTACGTCGATGCCGATCACGCCGGCGACACTGACAACAGACGCTCACGCACCGGCTACGTCTACCGCCTCGAGCCTATCGGTCCTATCTCCTGGCAGTCAAGCAAGCAGGAGTTAATCGCGCTATCTTCGGCTGAAGCCACCAAAGAAGGACTCTATCGCACTCTGCTCAGCCACCAAAGAAGGACTCTATCTTCGCGAGCTACTGGAAGAAGCGAAGTTAGCCGAGTTACCCAACTTTAACGTGTTCTGCGACAACCAGTCAGCAATTCGCATCGCCAACAAGAACGGCTTCGCGAACAGGACGAAACATATTGCCCTACGTTACTTCTTCGTGAAGGACGAAATCGAGAAGGGGAGACTCGAGCTGTCATACTGCCCCACATCCGAGATGGCAGTTGAGTACTTGACCAAGAAACTCGGAAAGCAAAAGTTCGAGTATTGCATGCTGCTGACTGGACAAGGCCACGTCACCAGCAGCGACACTCCAGAAGCGAAGGGGAGTGTTGGAAACAATAAGACCTAAGCGCTTCAGTCGTGTCGAAAACACCGCATCAGAAGCGAGGCAAACTACACCGAAGCACCCGCGAGTCAACCCTCGGGGGTTGAAGAGGCTGCTGGAGGTTACGCGAAGGTCAAAGGTCGCTGACCTTTGACCCGACAAGTACAGCGCGACAGTTAAGGACATACAACTGACTCGTTACAGAGCAGTTGCCCGAGTCGTACTGTATCGAACCGCAACAGCAACAGTAAAAGTAGTTATAACCGTATCCTTTGATATTCCTTACACCACTATATATTCTTGTACTTTCCTGTTATAATTAATACTTACTTTGCCCTCACATACTAGCGCAAGGTGGTTCACAATTACTTCACTAAAAGCTTCCGCTATTACAATTGTCCTACCCAGAGTTCTCCCCTGAAAAGATCCTAAGGGGCTATCTCAGCCCAACAATACACAACAAATCCAACTCATTCGCACGCTCACACCATGAACCCCAGTGCCGCACAAACCCCACCGGCTGTATCAAGAGCTGACACGACAAAGACGGTGTGGGCGAGGGCAAACGCCATGAGGCGGCATGAGATCAGCAGCACTGCCAGGTGGGTAGGGGGAGGGGGACGGGTGGGAACAGGGGGAGGGGGAGGGGGAGGGGGAGGAGGGGGGGGGGGAGGGGGAGAGGGAGGGGGGGGAGGGGGAGGGGGTGTCACGTATTTCGGCTGTATCAAGAGCTGATACTCCAAAGGGGAGGGGGAGGGGGAGGGGGAGGGGGAGGGGGAGGGGGTGTCACGTATTTCGGCTGTATCAAGAGCTGATACTCCAAAGGGGAGGGGGAGGGGGAGGGGGAGGGGGAGGGGGAGGGGGAGGGGGAGGGGGAGGAGGTGTCACGTATTTCGGCTGTATCAAGAGCTGATACTCCAAAGACGTGTTAGAATCTAGCAGCAGGAATGTGTGAACTAGTGGCATGCAGGAGTACAAGTAGTAAACCCTAATTGGGCTGTACCCCATATGGGCTACCCCACTACAGCCTAGACAATATGTAGCATATATGTTTGACACACCCCCATAGGCAAAGTGGGGGAGAACAAGGGGTCAAACGACCAGTCAAGAGAAGCAAAGCAAGCTCAGGGTGGATCTCAACGTCACCACACATTCTGAGCACAAGCAAAGGGCCACAAGGCCAGTCCACATGCAGAGATATATATGCAACAATAACAGTACAGTGATGACTACCTAGCAAGAGCAGGCATGCATGTATATATATAGATCACAGTACAAGCAGAGACTACAACAAGTGTGGAAACGTAGGCACAAGGCCTAACAGGGTACAAAAGCGCTGATGATCACCAGACGGAAGTGCCTTGGTGAATATATCAGCAGTGTTGGCCCGAGTGGCCACGTGACGAAGACGAAGCTGGCCTCGCTGCTGCAACTCTCGAGCCAGGAAGTAACGCAGAGCAATGTGCTTCGTTCTGTGCTCCAGTCTGTGCTCCTCACACAAGGCAATGGCGGCCTTGTTGTCGACGTACAGCACTGGAGGAGAACGAGGCTGCTCCCCCAAGTCAGTCAGCAGGTAGGTGAGCCAGCGTAACTCCTGTGCAGCCATGGCTGTGGCGTAGATCTCAGCCTCACAACTGGAGCTGAGAACTGAAGACGAGCGTGTAGAACGCCACGAAACTGAACCAGAGCCAAGGCTGAAGGTGTAACCCTGCGACGACCGCTGAGTAGCCAGGTCGTCAACCCAAGAAGCGTCTGAGTGCCCAGTGAGGACAACTGGGCTCGTCCCTCCAAGCACTAGCCCCATGCCTGATGTGCTGCACAAGTAGCGCAGTACCCTCTTAGCAGCAGCCATGTGCTCAGGTCGGTGCCGACCAGGAGCCACGTAGCGAGCCAGAAGACCAAGAGGGTACGCGAGGTCAGGTCGAGTGCAAGTCATCAGGTACATGAGGCAGCCGACTAGCTCTGGGTAAGGACCACTCGGCTCTACGGACTCGTCCGAAGGTGGAGCTGAGAGCGAGTGACCTGTAGCCAGAGGAGTGGCCTGTGCTGAAGACCAGGTGAAGCCGAAGCGCTGAAGGACCTGCTGCACCATGTGTGACTGAGTCAGGGTGATGGTGCGGCGTGTGATCTGCAAGCCAAGGTAGCTGCGCAGCTCACCCAAGTCTGTGCACGTGTGTCTCTTCTGCAGCTCCGACTTCACGTGGGCGAGAGCCTCAGTGTCAGAAGTGGCAAAAACCAAGTCGTCGACGTACACGAGGATGTAGAACGGCGGCAGTGAAGTGTCGGTGCGCAGAAACAGCGACGGGTCAGCAGTAGAAGGCGCGAACCCAAGAGCCGCAAGCGTAGTCCTCAGTGTGTCGTGCCACTCACGTGGCGCCTGGCGGAGACCGTAGACCGGCCGCCGGAGGCTCCACTGGGTGCCAGGAGGGAACGACCCAGTGAAGCCCGGGGGGCGGCGCAGCCAGATCTCCTCGTGCAGGCTGCCCTGCAAGAAAGCTGTGCTGAAGTCAAGAGAGTGAAGCTCGTAGTCACGGTGAGCAGCAACATGCAGCAGCACCCGAAGAGTGGTCATCTTCGGGGTGGGGGAGAAGGTCTGGAAGAAGTCAACTCCCTCTCGCTGACTGAAGCCTCGAGCTACGTAACGCGCCTTGAAGACAGGCGGAGAACCCGGCGGCCGCTTCACCCTGAAAATCCACATGCCACTGACGATGTTCGCCCCAAGTGGGGGAACCTCGTCAACGTAGGTGCCTGTGGACTTCCAGGAAGCCATCTCTGCGTCCATGGCTGCCTGCCATTGAGAGGAGTAGGGACCCTCTATCGCCTCTGCGTAAGAGCGCGGAGTCGGGATGTCTAGTGCATCCGGGTCTCCCTCAGGGGCAAGTAGCGAGGACACAAGATGAGGTAAAGCAGCAGCAAGACACTGGAACTCCTCCTGCCTGTCCTCAAGGACGTCCGTGCTAAGAGCACACTCACCCCCGACGGACGGAGGACAGACAGACTCAGACTCAGCAGCAAGACTGGCCGTGCAAAGTCAACAAGCTCAGCGACCAAGGCAGACGCAGTAGTAGACTCAAACGACGGGTCAGTGACAATAGTGGCTAGGAGACGCGTGACAGTATGGTGCTCAGTACGAAACCGGTCAGACTCAGGGTCCGGAACGGCAGGCAGAGAGGACGTAGGAGGAGACGGCAGAGGAACAGGCGGCGGAGCAGAGGAAGGACAACGGACTACGAGGTGTGCGCCGGGGACAGCCGGCTGACGCGAACGAGGAACACGACGACCGGTACGACCAGGACGAGCAGGCGAAACAGGACGCGACGCAGGCTCACGACGCTCAGCAGGACTACCAGTCAGCTCAGTGTAAGGAGAAGGAGCAGGCAGCGGTGAGCCAGACTGTAACGGAAGACCAGTAGACGACGGAAGAGTAAGAACCTGACGAAGAACAGACGGCGGCAGAGACGACGGAGACGGCGGAGCGAAGAACAGTCGTGTCGGCGCAGCTGCACCAGTACCAGCAGCTCCAGCAGCTCCAGTGTTTTTAGTAGCAGCACCCCCAGAACCAGCACCTCCAGTCCCAGGGTCTCCAACCTCAGGGTCGCCAGCAGTAGCACCCCCAGAACCAGCACCTCCAGCTCCAGGGTCTCCAACCTCAGTGTCTCCAGCAGCAGCACCCCCAGAGCCGACACCTCCAGTCCCAGGGTCTCCAGCCTCAGTGTCTCCAGCACGAGCCCCTCCAGAACCAGCAACTCCAGCACCTCCAGTAGACAAAGGACCAGCACGACTCCGAGCTCCAGCAGCGCGACGCTGACGGCGACCGTACCAGTCCTGCAGCTGCTGTGGGGTGAGAGGCACACGTGGACGAAGGCGGCCACTCCAAGGAGACCGCGCAACAGCAGACTCAGAACCCTCAGCGCCCGCACCCCCAACGGCTCCAGAACCTCCGGTGTCAGTACCCTCAGCACCAGTACCTCCAGCGGCTCCAGAACCTCCAGCGCTAGCACCCTCAGCAGCTCCAGAACCTCCAGCTCCAGCGTCACCAGTACTAGGCCCTCCAGCAGCTCCCGAACCTCCAGCGCCAGCACCCTCAGTAGCTCCAGAACCTCCAGCGTCAGTACCGCCAAGCTCAGCACCCCCAGACCCCTCACACGCAGGCTCAGCACCACCAGGCTCTACACCCTCAAGCTCCGCACCCGCAGGCTCAGTACCCCCAGGCTCAGCACCCCCAGGCTCCGCACCCCTAGGCTCAGCACCCCCAGAAGTAGCACCCCGAGCAGGACCACTCTCAGTAGGACCTGAGTCACCAGTGACCTCAACCGGCGCAGTCAAGGGAGGAGGGTCTACCTGAGAAACACCTGAAGGAGCAGGACCGGGAGCGGGGAGGGGGTCTACCTGGGGAGCACCTGGAGCGAGGAAGAGCGGCGGGGGGGGGGAGCGGGGTAGTGCGGTAGGGGAAGAGACGGTAAAAGGGAACCGACTCGTCGAACGTGACGTCCTGAGACGCAAAGACACGGCGCGAGGTGGGGTGGTAAAACTGCCAACCAGGCGCGTCAGGGACAAAGCCAAGGAAGACACAGGGAACAGCGCGGGCGGAGAGCTTGTCCGCGGTGGTATCGCGGACAAAGGCACGAGCACCCCAGACCCGGAAACGCGACGCATCGCCAACCTTCCCCGTCCACATCAGTGTGGGCGAGGTCTCCGGCAAGGAAACACGGGGCCAGAGGTTGAGCTGATGCGCGGCGTACCGGACCGCAAACGGCCACAGAAAATGGGGGGCAGCCGCATGGATCAGGGAGGTACGAGCGACCTCCATGACTAAGCCAATGCGGCGCTCAGCAACCCCATTCTGCTGCGGAGAGGCCGGAAGCGTGAACGACTGGGTGATGCCGTGCTCCGCACAGTAGGCTGCCAAGAGGTTGGAGGAGAACTCACCACCTCTGTCAGAGTGCAGACGCAGGACAGGAAAGTCCGACCGGAACCGCTCGCGGAGCTGGAGACGAACTGCGCGGATCCAGGGGATCAAAACAGCAGGGACATCCGCCTTGCTCCGCAAGGGGAAGACCGTGGTGTAACGCGTGTAGTCGTCGACAACCAGCAGGAAGTACCGCTCGTGGCCCTGTCCCTAGACGCGGGCTGGGCCCCACACGTCCAGGTGGAGCGTCTGCAGTGGAGCCTCTGTGGGAGGAAACGAGGAGGAGTGAGGAGCGGCGCGCTGCCGCCCCTCGACGCAAGGAATGCAGGGCGGCGCAGGCGAGGGAGGGAGGGCAGGCAGAGACCTGGGGAGACCAGAGACCAGGGAGCGAGAGTGCATGCTACGCAGGCGAGGCAAGGAGGGGTGACCAAGGCGGTGGTGCCACAGGAGAGTGTCGTGCGACAAAGCGCGACACTCGTAGGGGGCCGCCTGCTGACCAGACGTAGACGCAGACGCAGCTACCTGAGGGGACGCAGTGGTCAGTGTGTACAGACTCGAGCCAGGTGCACGGGTGAACGTGGCCAAGTGCCGGCCCGTCCTAGCACACGTACAGTGAGTCACTCGCTGACTCGCAGGAGTGAACTGGTGAACCCCCCCATCCTGGAGGTCAGCTCCACTCACCAAGTTCGTAGAGAACGAGGGGAGGTAAAGACCTGACAGGAAGCCAGACGGGACGGCCGGACACGGCAGAACCGTGGAGTGGTGGGCAATGACTGGACCCCCAGAGGGGTCCGCCAGGGAGACCGGGACTGGCCGACTGAGCGGCGTGAGTGCGGTGCAGTCGCGAAAGAAGGAGCGGGAAGCTCCTGAGTCAAGGGTGAAGGTGTGCGAGACCGCAGTGGGCGCAGTACCAGAGAGAGCAGACTCACCAGCACCTGAAGCCACGGCCTCACCAGTACCTAGAGCAGTAGACGTACTAGCACCGAGAGCAGCAGCCTCACCAGCACCTAGAGCAGGAGACGCACTAGCACCTAGGGCAGCAGCCTCACCAGGGTCAGGCGGTACGCACAGGTAACAGGCACGGTCAGCACTAGTAGACAAGGCATACATGGCAGTGAGAATAGCATCATAGTCAAGCGCAAAGATATCTACCCTCTGTCCATGCAGCTCCAGCCAGGTGGGGAGCTCAGCCTCGTCGCCAAACACTGTGCGCCAGGCGTCGCTCAGACGGGCGAAGCAGCGGGACTGTGTGTGACCAAGCGTCCCACAAGGCTGACCAGTCCTAGCACCTGTGCGAATGACGTACGGGCAGCGAACTGTACGGGTAGACCTGCTACACTGAGCGTACCACTCCTGGAGCTGCCGAGGCGTAAGTGGCTTGTGTGGACGCCCCTGCAGCTGCAGCTGGCCACTGCTAGACGCTCCCAACTGACCAGCCCCAGGGCGACAGCTACGACGGCTACCGCGACAACCCCAGCTAGTATACCACTCACTAAGCTGCTGGGGCGTGAGAGGCTCGCGTGAACGTCGCTGGAGCTGCATCTGGCCACCTGCCAGTAGCAGTAGCAGCAGCAGCAGCGCGGGCAGGGCAGGCGTGGCAGGCAGGTAGGCAAGCAGGCAGGCAGGCAGGCAGGCAGGAAGGCAGGCAGGCAGAAAGGCAGGCAGGCAGGCAGGCAGGCAGACAGACAGGCAGGCCGGCAGGCAGGCAGTCAGGCCGGTAGGCAGGCAGGCAGGCGCGCAGGCAGGCAGGCAGGCAGGCAGGCAGGCCGGCAGGCAGGCAGGCAGCCAGGCAGGCAGGCAGGCAGGCAGACAGGCAGGCCGTCAGGCAGGCAGGCAGTCGCTCACCAAAGGCTGGGAGAGCAGGCGCTCACCGGGCGAGCAGGGCCGGCGCTCGACAGCGGCGACGTCGGGGCCGCAACACCGGCTGCAGAGCAGGGCCGAAGCAGCTGCAGGGCGGGGCCGCTTCAGCGGCAGGTCGGGGCCGTGGCAACTGCAGGGCGGGGCCGTGGCAGCTGCAGGGCGGGGCCGCATCAGCGGCAGGTCGGGGCCGTGGCAGCTGCAGGGCGGGGCCGCATCAGCGGCAGGTCGGGGCCGTGGCAGCTGCAGGGCAGGGCCGCATCAGCGGCAGGTCGGGGCCGAGGCAGAGGGCCGCGCGCGGCTCGGCGCGGGCTGCGCTGACAGCGCGCTAAGCTGATGCAGGCCGCGCGCGGCCGCGCTAGGCAGTAGCGGGCCGCGCGCGGCTCGGCGCGGGCTGTTGCGGGCCGCGCGCGGGCCGTGCGAGGCAGTAGCAGGCCGCGCGCGGCTCGGCGCGGGCTGCTGCGGGCCGCGCGCGGCTCGACGCGGGCTGCGTGGGCTCGGCGCGGGCTGCGCGCGGCAGCTGCGAGCTGCGCGCGGCTCGGTGCGGGCTGCGCGCGGCTGCAGCGGGCTGCGCGCGGCTGCAGCGGGCTGCGCGCGGCTCGGTGCGGGCTGCGCGCGGCTGCAGCGGGCTGCGCGCGACTCGGTGCGGGCAGCGCGCGGCAGCAGTGTGCTTAACGGTCTGCAGGGGCTGTGTGCGGGCCTGACGGGCGTGTAGAGGCGGCGCGCGGGCCTTACGGGCCTCTAGGGGCAGCGCGCTGGCCTAGGGCAGCAGGAGGCAGCGCATGTGCAGCACGTCACAAGGCAAGGCAAGGCAGGCAGGTACGTGGGGTAGCGCGGTAACCGCAGCGGTAGGTGGGCCCGAAAAAAACGGTCCTACGGACCTTAGTGCTCTGAAACCATGTTAGAATCTAGCAGCAGGAATGTGTGAACTAGTGGCATGCAGGAGTACAAGTAGTAAACCCTAATTGGGCTAACCCTAGACAATATGTAGCATATATGTTTGACAAGACGGGGCAGTTGAGGGCAAATGCGATGAGGCGGCATGAGATCAGCAGCACTGCCTGGTGGGTAGGGGGAGGGGGACGGGTGGGAACAGGAGGAAGGGGAGGGGGAGGGGGAGGGAGGGGGTTGTATCAAGAGCTGATACGCCAAAGACGGTGTAGTTTAGTGCAAAGGCCATGAGGCCACCTCATATCCGTAGGTTGTATTTTCTCTCCCCTCCCCCATCCCCACTCACACACACCATCTCATGCACGCACCATGCACCACCACCAACCCACCAGGAGATTGGGTGGCAGTGGCAAGCAAAATGCGACTGCACAAAAACATGACCCCGAGAAGAAGGGTTAGAGGAGTCATGGGCAGGGGCGGGAAGCAAAGCGTTGAATCCACACACACACACGCACGCACGCACGCACGCACGCACGCGTGCACGGGCGGAATGGGATGAGGGCGCCAGCTGCAGCGCCATCAGCGAATGTGAGGGCGTATGCTAGGCGGAGCATGGCTAGCAAGGGCCGTAGAGGAGAGCATCTGAGGGGGATGGGGCTTTGGGGGGGGTGAAGGGAGGAACGGGATGAGGGCGCCAGCAGCAGAGCCATCAGGGAACGTGAGGGCGTCTGCTAGGCGGAGCATGGCTAGCAAGGGTCGTAGAGGAGAGCATCCGAGAGGGATGGGGCTTTGGGGGGGGTGAAGGGAGGAATGGGATGAGGGCGCCAGCAGCAGCGCCATCAGCGAATGTGAGGGCGTCTGCTAGGCGGAGCATGGCTCGAAGCCCGTAGAGGAGAGCATCTGAGGGGAGAGTCAAGGCTGCATGGATTGCCGCTGCCAATGCTGCAACGGTTGTTGCTGCTACTCCCTGTGCAGCTGCTGCCTTTGCCCAGAGCTATGCCAGCTGCAGAGCCATGAGGGTTTTCGAGGTTTTGGAAGCTTTGAGTTTTTCTTGAATTTCTGGGAACAATTTCACACGCTTTGATCCTATTGCTTAGCGTTTTCTCAGAGTTTGCTGCTACTCCCGCTATGAATCTTCAGCTGCTGCCTTTGCCCAGAGCTATGCCAGCTGCAGAGCCATTAGCGAATTTGAGGGCGTCTGCTAGGCGGAGCACGGCTACAAGCACAGTCGAGGAGAGCATCTGAGGGGATGGGGGGGGGGGAGAGGGAGGGAGGGAGCGATGGAGGGAAAATGTTGAGGGGAAGAGCATCTGAGGGGATGGGGCAGGGGGGAGAGGGAGGGAGGGAGGGAGGGAGGGAGGGAGGGAGGGAGGAAAAATGTTGAGGGGAGGCGGGGTGCTGCTGAGAAACGAATTGATATGGCTTCAACCGTCTGCCCATGGTGCGCTAAACACAGCAGATAGGAAGGAGAGGGGGGATACCTTGAGCGAGTGATGTCGTCACATGGGGAGAGAGAGAGGTGACGTCATGTGACAAGGGTGATGACGTCACCTGAAGCAGAGTGATGACGGCGCAGGGGAAGTTGGAGGAGGAGAGAGCGGCCTTGTTGAAAATAACGAGTGTGACTGTAGGGAGGGGATGGAAAGAGCACATAGGCAAAGGTCCAAAGGAGAAAGGGGAAAATGGAAATGACCAGGGTAGACACAGAGAGTATCCGAATTACTCGAAATACCCAACAGCGCAACCCTAACTACCTCCGCCGATCATGTAAGAAACGGCGGCGAGCATCCCTGGCCGCGTCATGCCTTACCTGTCTCGCGACGAGCTTCTTAACCGCCCGTCGCGGCAGCAGATTCTACTTTTGCGGCGCATCAAAGCCCGCCGCGTCATGCGTTTCTGTCTCGCGTCATGCTTCTTAACCGCCCGTCGCGGGAGCAGATTCTACTTTTGAGGCGCCTCAAATCCCGCCGCCTCATGCCTTTCTGTCTCGCGTCATGCGTCTTGACCGCCCATCGCGGGAGCAGATTCTATTTTGGAGACGCCTCAAAGCCCGCTGCGTCATGCCTTCTCTCTCGCGTCAAGCTTCTCGACCGCCCGTCGCGGCAGCAGATTTTTGAGACGCCTCAAAGCCCGCCGCGTCATGCCTTTCTGTCTCGCGTCGAGCTTCTCGGTCCGCCCGTCGCGGCAGCAGATTCTACTTTTAAGGCGCCTCAAAAGCCCGCTGCGTCATGCTTCTCGACCGCCCGTCGCGCCCAACCGGGTACTACCCCCCAAACCCAATGAATAAAACAGTCGTAAAATGTTTCATCCAGTGGTAACCCGAACTACCCGACGCACGTAGACCAAACTCACCCCAGGCACGTAACCCTAACTACCTGCGCAGATCATGTACGAAACGGCGACGGGCATCCCTTTCGCGTCATATGCCTTTCTGTCTCGCGTCAAGCTTCTCGACAGCCCGTTGCGGCCGCAGAGTCTGCTTTCGGGACGCATCAAAACCCGCCGCGTCATGCCCTTCTGTCTCGCGTCGGGCTTCTCGTCTGCCCGGCAGATTCCGCCTCTCCGCGCGATGCGGCCTGTCAGATTGAGCGTCCATCTGACCTGAATCGCGGCGTTGCTACTGTAATTTATGTTAGTAATTGCAACACTAGTGGTGGAATTCGCAAAAGTCGGCACCCAATGGACAACAGAGAATGTATGGCGAGGATCGGATATCTAATCAAGAGCTAATGCGGGAAACCCGATAGTAGTCCCATCGAATAGCACTGCATTGGACAACAACAAGCGGCGCGAAGTGGAAAAATCTGCTGCCAGGCCGGAAGGGAGCCTGTGATTTTCGGGGGCTGGAATTCAAATCTCGAGGCGCTACTCTTTTCGTTTGGCCCGGTACATTTGGGTTCAGGGTAGTCGTTTAACGAACGTTATATTAAAAGCATTTTTTTCATGATATGAACAAAACGTCTTGATGTTTTAAAACTAAATGACATAATAACCAGGGCCTGTGCTAGGATTCAGGGCACCCTGAGCCTCCAGGGTAACTTCTGAAAATTTTCCAAAATGCCCTGATTCTTCATGGCAAAATTCTCTGGCCATCCTGAAACTTCAGGGCTCCAGCAGAAATACATCTGGATCATTCAGGGCTAAAAATAAAAGAGAGAGGAAGAGAGAGGATGGAGAGAGGAAGGCACAAAAGGTGCAGGTTGTTCACTGGTTTCACTTCTACTAGCTGAGCATAAACATTGGTTGGGGAGGGGTGGAGACATAACTAGCACACACACCACTAGCCTCCTTCCTCCCCTCTCCCCCTCTCCCCCCTGTCAGAGGTCCACTGGGGATCCCCGATGATCCTAGGGAAGGGTTACAGGCATGTCGGCCTGGGGGGTTATGGGCGCACTCACCCGCTATACAAACAAGCCCTTTTATCCCAGTGGTTAGTGGCTGGGATTCTGACATGGTATCAGAGCGAAGGTCTCGGGTTCGATTCCCGGTGTGTGCACCTCGGGCATCCCAGTGCGGGGGGGTGTCAGAGGTCCACTGGGGATCCCCGATGATCCTAGGGAAGGGTTACAGGCATGTCGGCCTGGGGGGTTATGGGCGCACTCACCCGCTATACAAACAAGCCCTTTTATCCCAGTGGTTAGTGGCTGGGATTCTGACACCCCCCCCACCCCTTCTCCCCTTCTACGAGCCAGGGCATCCCTCTACATTCACCCTAACGCTTCAGGGCGAAAGTTCACAGCCATTCTGAAATTCTAGGGCAAAACACATGGATCATCCTGGCGCCACAGGGTAAATTTCAGCGTCATTCTGAAATTCCAGGGCAAGCTGAAAACGCCACCCTGAAATCAGGGTAATCAGGATGTTTTGTCCTGATATCGTGGGCCCTGATAATAACAACACTACATCCAAGTCATAGTGGGCCTGCTTCAAGCACTTCAGAAATATGTTCATATGATTATATTTTATGATTATAATATGTGAGACACATATACGTGCGGTTGCATCGTACAACACAACACAGTCTTGGCGCGTATGGGTATATGTGAGGTATACCGTATGACACTGTCAAATGTTGTAGCCTGTAGTGAGGTTTGTCTTAGGGGGTACAGAAGTTAGGGTTTGCCATATGTACCCCAACCAACATCAATGCATCATCCATTCCTCATTCTGACATGGTATCAGTTAGGTTAGGATCCTGTGGGATCCCGTTTCTCCGTTCTCCGATCGTACCACCCGAGCCTGATCCTAGCTCTCGTTTCGCCCGTCTTGCCCGAGCCTAGTGCCGGCCCGATCTAGTCCCGTTCGTTCGTTACCGCTCGTTCTTCCTCCCGATCTAGCGTAGCCCGATCTAGCGTACCGCTGCCGGTCGCGCTGCGCTTTCCCCCCCTGATGCCCGTCGAGGCGCGCTTCCCCCCCGCTGCCGTCGAACCGCGCTCCCCCCCCCCCCCCCCCCCCCCCCCCCCCCCCCCCCCCCCGCTCCGCGCCCCCCCCGCTGCCCGTCGACCCGCGCTTCCCCCCGCTGCCCGTCGACCCGCGCTTCCCCCCGCTGCCCGTCGACCCGCGCTTCCCCCCGCTGCCCGTCGACCCGCGCTTCCCCCCGCTGCCCGTCGACCCGCGCTTCCCCCCGCTGCCCGTCGACCCGCGCTTCCCCCCGCTGCCCGTCGACCCGCGCTTCCCCCCGCTGCCCGTCGACCCGCGCTTCCCCCCGCTGCCTGTCGACCCGCGTTTCCCCCTGCTGCCCGTCGATCCGTCGCCCTGGCCCGCGCCCCAGCCCGTCTCCCCAGCTCGCGCCCTAGCCCGTCGCCCTGGCTCGCGCCCTAGCCCGTCGCCCAGGCCCGCGCCCCAGCCCGTCGCCCTGGCCCGGCGCCTTTGCCCTACCCGCGCGCCCGCCACACCTGACCTACCCGCCCGCTCTTGCCCGCTCTTCCTGCCCGTTCTCCCTTGCCGCTGCGCCCTGCTTTCCCTGCCAATTCCGTTTGCACACTATGGCGACCCCTCGCGTCCTTCGTTTCGATGCTGACGGTCGCCCGCTCGATTTCCCAGTCTGGCTTCTTCGCGCTCGCCGCCTGTTAGAGAGTCAGGTCCAGGCAGGCGAGACCCTCTGGGCGCACGCTACTGGTGCCCTCCCTGCGCCCCCCGACCCTACACCTTTAGGCCCTGCTCCTGACGACGCTGCTAGAGCCCTCTTTGCCACCCAGCGAGCTGACCAGACGGCTTGGACGTCGCGTGACGCTGCGGCCTGCATCGCGCTCAGTAGCCTCCTCCCTGAGTCTGAGGAGGTCCACTTCACTCAGGTTTGCACAGCTGCTGAGTACCTCACTGCGATTAAGGCCCGCTACTCTACTCCCGCTACTGTCTCTCTTGGCCGTCTTTTCCTCCCGTTCCTGTTTCCTGATCTCGCCTCTTTTGAGCGCTCTGCTGACTTGATCGCTCACCTCCGCTCGCTCGACGCTAGTTACCGCGCTGCTTGCACTGAGGCACAGCTTGCACTGCTTCCTCCTCCCATGGCGATTACTATCTATTTCATCGCCACTAGCCTCCCTGACCGCCTTGCCTCCGTACGTGACGCGCTTCTTCTGAAGCACCCTAGTGAGCTCACCGTCGAGGTCCTTGAGTCTGCGCTCAAGGACGTCGAGAGCAACCTTCGCTCGGTAGCCGCTGCCTCTGGTGCTGTGCCCCCCCCACTCTTCCACGGGTGCACAGTCCCGCAGTTACCCACCTTCACTGCCTCTCTTGCCACTGCCGCTACTGACGCGACTGCAGCTGCTGTTACGACTGCGTCGCGGTCCCGCGGCAGGGGGGGCAAGAAAGGCGGTTCTGGTGGAGGTGGTGGTGGAGGCGGAGGTAGCGGAGGTAGTGGGGGTGGCGTTGCGACTGGCGGTGGTGGGAGTGCAGGGCCTGGAGAGACCTCTCGTGCAGCGGCTGGTGACTCCACTGCGCCTGCTGGTGGTGGCGACGCCCGAGTTCGTCAGTCGCCTCCTGTACTGCCGGCCCCGGTAGGTGGAGCAGCGGCATGGTACCAGGCTCAGCGTCAGCAGCAGCTTCTGCAGCACCAGCAGCCCCTCCCCTCCCAGCAGCAGCAGCGGCAGCAGCTGGCTCCGGGGTCGGGGCTGCGTCAGCCCCAGCGTGGTGCGGCCTTCCCTCCCTGCACCTATCAGGTTCTGACAGGTGCTCATCGAGGCCACCCTTGTGGTCGCTTTCACCCCCCTGGTCAGTGCTTTGCTCAGCTCACTGACACGGTTCGTTTGGCCTACGGGGTTGGCGGTCCTGCCCTTGACTGGCTTCCTCTGGTTCAGCGTTACGGCTCCGCTCTGTGGGGCATGTCTGCTGAGCAGTTAGTTGATCTGATTGGTGCTCCTCATGCTATGTATGCTGTTGTTGACTCTAGTATATCTGACTCTGTTTACTCTGGTGTTGTTAGCTTAGGTGCTAGTCTTGCTCAGTTGCCTGTTGCTTGTGTAGGATCTTGTGTAGACTCTAAACCAGCGACTACCTCGGAGGACGCTTCGCTGTCGTTCACGCTGGACTCTGGAGCCTCACACTGCTTCTTTCGTGACAGCACGACACTTACACCACTTCCTGCGCCTGTTTCTGTGGCGCTGGCTGATCCCACTTCGGGACCAGTCACTGCGCGTCACAATACCACGTTGCCGTGTCCTGCTGCTCCCTCCGGGTCTCTCACTGGGTTTCACGTCCCCTCGTTCTCCCGGAACTTGGTTGGCGTGCGACCCCTCGTGAGTCAGCACGTGGGTGTGTGGTTTGAGCCTTATATGCCTCCAGTCTTTGGACCGGGTCCCCTGGTGTTGCGTCGAGGTTTCGTGTCTGGGGGTGCTTGGCTCTTGTCCGCGACACCTCCGCGGACAAGCTCTCGCCTCGCGCCGTTCCTTGTGTCTTCCTTGGTTTCCCTGAGGACTCCTCTGACTTCACCTTTTTCCCTGAGGTTCTTTGACTCCCGTGACGTCCGTTTTGAGGAGTCCACCCCCTACTACGTCAGGTACCCCAGTCGAGGTCTCCCGGTTCCTCCTCCCCCTCTCTTCCTGACTTCCGCTCCCCCTCCTGCTCCCCCGGTACAGCCTCCCCCCCCTGGTCCAGCCCCGTCAGGTGTGTCCCAGGCTACCCCTCCCCCTTCGGTAGCCCCTCAGGTCCAGCCCCCCTCCCCACAGTCTTCCTCGCAGCGTGCTGCAGACTCTGCGGGAGCCGGTGCTTGTGGAGAGGGCCCTGCAGGTGCTAGCTCTCGAGAGGTTGGTGCTGAGCCTGTTCCTGTACCGGTTTCTGGTTCTGGGGGTGCTGGAGTTGGAGCTGAGCTGGTGGTTGCAGAGGACTCTGTTCTTCCAGGAGCTGGTGCTGGTCGTGCGGGGTCTGGGGGTGAGGGTGACCCCCCTTCGGCTTCTGGTGCGCCTGGGTCTGGAGCTGGTGTTGGTGCTGACTCTGGGGGTGGTGTGCCTGGTGCTTCGGAGGTGGACTCTGGGGCTGCCGCTGCCCCGGACACTACTACTACCCCCCACCCCTACCCGACCAGGTTCCAGGCTCGTGTTCGCCGTGCTCGTGAGGAGCAGCTGGAGTTGGAGAGAGAGGAGCGAGAGTTGCAGCGGCACGAGGAGCAGGAGCGCCAGCGGCAGCAGCAGGAGCAGCAGCAGCAGCAGCAGCAGCAGCAGCAGCAGCAGCAGCAGCAGCAGCAGCAGCAGCAGCAGCAGCAGCAGCAGCAGCAGCAGCAGCAGCAGCAGCAGCAGCAGCAGCAGCAGCAGCCACAGCAGCAGCAGCAGCAGCAGCAGCAGCAGCAGCAGCAGCAGTAGCAGCAGCAGCAGCAGCAGCAGCCGCAGCAGCAGCAGCAGCAGCAGTCGCCTCCTCCTCCTGTCTCGGGTCTTCGGACCCTTGGTCTCCCCTCTCGCTCTCCTTCCTCCTCCCCCTCTCCTCCCGTCTCTGGTCCTCCGCTTCCTCCTCCTGACCCCTCTCCCGCTGTTTTCCCTCGTTCTCAGTCTTCGTTGTCCCCGAGTCCTTCTCAGACTTGGCCCTCTCGTCGCTCTCCTCGTGCTCGTCCCTCGTCTCCTGTTCCCTTCACTGACCTTCGTACTGCCTTACTTCGTTCTAGTCCACCTCGTCCGTCTCCGTCTGTGCTTCCGTCTCCTCCTGAGTCGGCCCTCACTGCGTCGCTCCCTACTCCTGTCACTGACTACTACCGCACGTACCGTCCTGTTCTCTCTCGTGTTCTCGCCTCTCTTGTTACTCACCCTCGTGCCTCTGTGTCCTCTGTCTCCGCTCTTACTGCCGCAGTCACTGACTTTGCCTCTACTCGCCGCCTTGACTACGCCACCACTCTTGTGGCTGCTCCTCCTACCAGTCCTCTGGCCGTCGGGGGTGTGTCTGCCCTTGGCTGTGACGCCCTAGAGGACAGGCAGTTCGAGCTAGAGTTCCTGGCAGCCGCTTCCCCTCATCTCTGTGCCATGCTCCTCGCCCCTGAGGGTGACCCCGACGCCCTTGACATTCCGACTCCTCGCACTTACGCTGAGGCAGTGTCAGGGCCTTGGGCCTCTCAGTGGAGAGCTGCCATGGACGCAGAGATGGCCTCCTACAGATCCACAGGCACCTACGTCGATGAGGTTCCCCCCCCTGGGGCGAACGTAGTCGACGGCATGTGGATCTACAGGGTGAAGCGGCCACCGGGATCTCCCCCGGTCTTCAAGGCGCGCTACGTGGCTAGAGGTTTCAGTCAGCGCGAGGGAGTTGACTTCTTTCAGACCTTCGCGCCTACCCCGAAGATGACCACTCTTCGGGTGTTACTACACGTAGTAGCACAGAGAGACTACGAGTTACACTCTCTTGACTTCTCCACTGCTTTCCTTCAGGGCAGCCTACACGAGGAGGTCTGGCTGCGTCGTCCCTCTGCCTTCACTGGCACCTTCCCTCCTGGGACCCAGTGGAGGCTGAGGCGACCTGTCTACGGTCTTCGCCAGGCCCCTCGTGATTGGCACAACACTCTCCGCTCTACCCTCTCTGACCTTGGGTTCCAGCCGTCTTCTGCCGACCCGTCACTGTTCGTTCGTCGTGGTTCCACACCGTTCTTTGTTCTGGTCTACGTCGACGACCTCGTTTTCGCCACTCCTGACAGGGTTGCTTTGGCAGACGTGAAGTCCGAACTGCAGAAGAGACACACGTGCACTGATCTTGGTGAGCTGCGCCACTACCTTGGCCTACAGATCACCAGGGACAGAGCCGCTCGCACCATTACACTCTCACAGTCACACATGGTGCAGCAGGTCCTTCAGCGGTTCGGGCTTCAGCACTCCACAGTACAGCGCACACCTCTCGCTGTTGACCACAGACTCACTGGTCCTTTTCCTGACGAGCCGTTTGAGCCTAGTGGTCCCTACGCAGAGCTGGTGGGTTGCCTCATGTACCTGATGACTTGTACTCGCCCGGACCTCGCCTTCCCTCTCAGCATCCTTGCGCGCTTTGTTGCGCCAGGGAGACACCGTCCTGTTCACTGGACGGCAGCTGTGAGGGTGGCGAAGTACCTAGCGACTACATCAGGCGTGGGGCTAGTTCTTGGAGGGCAGCAGTCTGTCGTACTCACTGGTCACTGTGACTCCTCTTACGCTGACGACGCTGAGACTCTCAGGTCTACTCAGGGGTACTGTTTCAGTCTGGGTTCTGGAGCTGTTTCCTGGCGTTCCACGCGCTCCTCTTCGGTCTCGACCTCTACAGCTGAGGCTGAGATCTACGCTGGTGCCATGGCGGCACAGGAGCTGCGTTGGTTGACTTTCTTGCTCGCCGACCTTGGTGAGCGGCCGAGCTCTGCACCGACCTTGTTCACTGACAACAAGGCGTCGATTCTCCTCTGTCGTGAGCCGCGACTGGAGAGCAGAGTGAAGCACATTCACGTCAGGTACTTTCTTCTGCGAGAGTTGCAGAGACGTGGACATGCTCGCTTCGAGTTTGTGGAGTCCGAGGCCAACACTGCAGACGTCTTCACCAAGGCGCTTCCGCCTTGTGACCACCAGAGGTGTTGTGTGCAGTTAGGCCTTGTTGACACAGGTTCTAGTCATGTGTAGGCTTGAGTTTATTGTCTGTTTTGCTTGTACTGTTGCTATACATACTTGTGATACCTTGGACTGGCCTTGTGGCCACTGTTGCTTGTGCTCAGAGAGTGTGGTGACGTTGTGATCCACCCTGAGCTTTGTTTTCTTTTGGACTGGTCTTGTAACCGTACACTGCTGTTTTTGATAGACACCCCTCACTTAGGCTATGGGGGTGTGTCAAATGTTGTAGCCTGTTGTAAGGTTTGTCTTAAGGGGTACAGAAGTTAGGGTTTGCCATATGTACCCCAACCAACATCAATGCATCATCCATTCCTCATTCTGACAGACACTACACAAAACGTGGCCTTTAGACACCCTTATTTTGCACTATGCTTACAGAGCTGAACCCATAAACCCCATAACTTGCAGCGACACATACCAGCAGTATGTGCGGTGCACCGTATGAGTAAGACACTACACATAAGGTGGCCTCTAGACACCCTTGATTTTGCAGTAAGTGTACAGGGCTGAACCCAGGAATCCCATGATTTGTCCAATGATATTGCCCTGCACAATCACATCCGATAGTGGAAGGAACACACATGTGAGCACAAATATCAAACAGCAACATGACAGAAGGGACCAAGCAAATGCTCCCATGAAAGAAACCCTTCTCATCTCACACACAATTCCCTTTCACCACAAGAAACACACAAAATAAACATTGTACTCACAGAAAAAAACCCCTTCCATGAAGGTAGGAAGAAATCTCTCCCTATACACGAATCCACCTTATTTTATCCCCCTTCTCATACAAATCCCCCTTCTTACACAAATCCCCCTTCTCGTACAAATCCCCCTTCCCCCATACCTCTCTCCCCCCCTCCCCTATGCCTCTCTCCAAAATGCCTCTCTCCCCCCCTCCCCCATGCCACTCTCTCCCATGCCACTCTCCCCCATGCCACTCTCTCCCATGCCTCTCTCCCCCATGCCACTCTCTCCCATGCCTCTCTCCCCCATGCCACTCTCCCCCATGCCTCTCTCCCCCATGCCACTCTCCCCCATGCCTCTCTCCCCCATGCCACTCTCTCCCATGCCTCTCTCCCCCATGCCACTCTCTCCCATGCCACTCTCTCCCATGCCTCTCTCCCCCATGCCTCTCTCCCCCATGCCACTCTCCCCCATGCCTCTCTCCCCCATGCCACTCTCCCCCATGCCACTCTCCCCCATGCCACTCTCCCCCATGCCACTCTCCCCCATGCCTCTATCACCCTTGCCTGCCACTCACCACATCAAATGGCAGGCCTCCAAAGAGAGCCCAACCGATCCCAACCGTTCCTAAATCCTGCAAACACCAGTCCGAAGGGGGAAGTGAGCATGCAGTAAGTGCATGTACGTTAAAAGCTGTGCTGTTTGATTGGTACTAGGCTTGCGACTCCTTGACTTCCCAATCAGAAGAGGGAAGTGAGCATTTGGTAAGTGCATGTAGGTTGGAAACTGTGCCCTTGATACTAGTTTGTGAACCCCCCTGCTATTTCCAGTCAGAAAGGGGAGGGGGGGAGCACAGTTTAGAACGTGAAAATTTGCTGTGAGGATTCAACTCTAGAGGCCCATAGAAACCATCGCTAAGCTTAATTGAAAACAGCAGCCAATGTTACACTTGTAGACGTTACCACACTCCACCACACCTTAATGTTACCACCACACCACACACGTTGATGCTACGGCCACGCACCTTTAGATTGCCGCACATGTTTTGAGTGAGCGCAGAGTTGAGAGAGGTGTTGAGAAACACAGTGTATTTGACACACCTTGATGTTACCACACTGCACACCTTGATGATACCACACTGCACACCTTGACGTTACCACACTGCACTCCTTGATGATACTGCCACGCACCTTGATGTTACCACCACAGTGCAGCTGGCGAGGGTAAGGACACCTCTCTCTACCATGCGTGTTGTTCCACTGGTTACTAATGCCTACCTTCAAGTTGCCACACATGTTTTGAGTGAGGGCAGAGTTGAGAGAGGTGTTGAGAAACACAGTGTAGTTGAGTGCGAAGGCCATGAGACACGACATGGAGAGCACCACCTGATGGATTGGGGGGGGGGGTCGGGAGAAATTGGGAGAGATTGCAGTGGCTGATTAGGCTAGTGAGAAAGAGAGGTGTTGGGAAACACAGTGTGGTTGAGTGCGAAGGCCATGAGACATGACATCGACAGCACCACCTGATGGATGGTTGGGAGGAATTGGGAGAGATTGGGAGAGATTGGGAGAGATTGCAGCGGCTGATTACGCTAGTGAGAAAGAGAGGTGTTGAGCGCGAAGGCCATGAGACAATGCACCGACAGCACCACCTGATGGGTGATTAGGAGCAGGACAGGAAAGGGGGGAGGGGAGGGCATGTTATGAAAACATAGCGCAATGCGGTTATAGCACATCCTGCGGTGTTTAAGACAGTGTAGCTGAGTGCAAAGGCCATGAGGCAAGACATCGAAAGCACTACGTGAACGGCAGGTGGGTGAGGGGTGGGAGGGAGGAGTGGGGGGAAGGGGTGGAGGGAGGGGTGGGAAGGAGGGGTGGGAAGGAGGGGTGGGAAGGAGAGGTGGGAAGGAGGGGTGGGAAGGAGGGGTGGGGGTGATGTGGGTGCTTGTATCCTGATTGCATCACGAGCTGCCAAAGATGGTGTAGTTGCGTGCAAAGGCCATGAGACAACACGTGATGGGATGGTGTGTGGGGGGTATGTGGGTGTTTGTGCTCTGATTGCAACCGCCAACCCACAAGGAAAGCAGGGTCAAGCAGCGCAGGGAATGCAAGCGCTCGTTGAATCTTCCCCGAGACGAAGGTCCAGAGGAGAAGAAGATGGGGGGACGCAGAGCAAACCAGTCAACACACACATGCACACACGTGCACCATGCACCACCCAACACCACTCCACCCGCCGCCAACCCACCAGGAAAGCAGGGTCAAGCAGTGCAGGGAATGCGAGCGCCCGTTGAATCTCCCCCGAGAGAAACGTCCAGAGGAGCAGCGCGGGTATGCAGTTGATTCCTGGCAGGTGGAGAGGCAGATGGAGTGGGTGGTGGGGAAAAAGAGAGGGAATGAGACACGGGCTCAAGTGAATCTCCCCCGAGAGGAACGTCCAGAGGAGCAGTGCGGGTATGCAGTTGATGCCTGGCAGGAGGAGAGGCAGATGGAGTGGGTGGTGGGGAAAAAGAGAGGGAATGAGACACGGGCTCAAGTGAATCTCCCCCGAGAGGAACGTCCAGAGCAGCAGCGCGGGTATGCAGTTGATTCCTGGCAGGTGGAGAGGCAGATGGAGTGGGTGGAGGGGAAAAAGAGAGGGAATGAGACACGGGCTCAAGTGAATCTCCCCCGAGAGGAACGTCCAGAGCAGCAGCGCGGGTATGCAGTTGATGCCTGGCAGGAGGAGAGGCAGATGGAGTGGGTGGTGGGGAAAAAGAGAGGGAATGAGACACGGGCTCAAGTGAATCTCCCCCGAGAGGAACGTCCAGAGCAGCAGCGCGGGTATGCAGTTAAATCCTGGCAGGTGGAGAGGCAGATGGAGTGGGTGGAGGGGAAAAAGAGAGGGAATGAGACACGGGCTCAAGTGAATCTCCCCCGAGAGGAACGTCCAGAGCAGCAGTGCGGGTATGCAGTTGATTCCTGGCAGGAGGAGAGGCAGATGGAGTGGGTGGAGGGGAAAAAGAGAGGGAATGAGACACGGGCTCAAGTGAATCTCCCCCGAGAGGAACGTCCAGAGCAGCAGCGCGGGTATGCAGTTGATGCCTGGCAGGTGGAGAGGCAGATGGAGTGGGTGGTGGGGAAAAAGACAGAGGGAATGAGACACGGGCTCAAGTGAATCTCCCCCCAGAGGAACGTCCAGAGCAGCAGTGCGGGTATGCAGTTGATGCCTGGCAGGAGGGGATGCAAGCAAGAAAGGAGGAGTCAGGTGAAAAATGCCGGGCTCTAGTGAGTCTCTTGAGCCTGGCAGAGGTGGTAATGGTTGAGCATGCTCTTATGTTGACAGCACATGCCATGCAGACTCACCATTGGACCACATGAGGCGGAACCGAAGCTATTTAGGCCGGTGGCGTTGCCTAGCCACGGAATGAGAGTGAGGAAAGCCAGTAACCACAGACGCATGGCACACCATTGCAATCAGCACTCACCATTGGACCACATGAGGCCGAAGCTGTTTAGGCCGGTTGATTTGCCTAGCCGCGCGATAAGAGTGAGGTACAGAGCGGTGGTGATGTTTGACAGGAGAACGACAGAGTAGCCGTAGGCCTCGAATGAGAAATCCCTCACTGCTGCCACGAGTGCTCCTATTACAATTACTGCCACACTGAACGGCAGAGAATGGGGAGAAGAAGAGAGGTACAGAGCGGTTGTGATGTTTGCCAGGGGAGCAATTGGATAGCTGTAGGCCTCGAATGAGAAATCCCTCACTGCAGTTTGTAAGGAGGGTAACCCACCCACCTGACGAGCGTGTAGGCGGAGTGCTGCTTGCTCGCTAGCAGCCGCTTTGTGAGGAGAGTGAAGGCCACTGTGGTGCACTCAAGTCAGCCCCACACACAGGCGCATGCTGTGAGTAGGAGGAGTGTAAAGGAGTGTAGTGTAGTGCAACCCTCAGGCCCACCTGACGAGCGTGTAAGCCGAGTGCTGCTTGCTCGCCAGCAGCCGCTCTGCCATGAGGGTGAATGCGACCATGGTGCGGTGCGTGTGAGTCCACCAGGGGTGTAGAGGAGTGGGTGTAGTGCTACACTCAACCTCACCCACCTGACGAGCGTGTAGGCGGAGTGCTGCTTGCTTGCCAGCAGCCGCTCTGCAGTGAGGGTGAAGGCCACTGTGGTGCGCCTGAGAGCCGTGTACATAGGGACATTCACCCCTCTTATGCTCGCCATGCTGATCACCTGTCATCGGAAGGGAATACATTGTGTGGGATACACAAAGGCTGACGGTGAGCCGTGTGGTGCGCCTGAGAGCCGTGTACATGGGTACGTTGACTCCCCTTATGCTCGCCATGCTGATCACCTGGGAGTGGGAGTGGTGGGATTGGGAGTGAATGGAAACACAGACACACAGACACACATGTAAGGGTGACGGCGACTGGGGCGTGCAGCACAGTGCCGTGTACATGGGCACGTTCACCCCCCTTATGCTCGCCATGCTGATCACCTGGTGTCGCATGATCACACACGCAACAGACACCACCAACAGAAACACGCGAGGATGAGAGTGAAGGCCACTGAGCCGTATACATGGGTACATTCACCCCCCTTATGCTGTCAAACATGGGTACATGGGAGTGGTGGGTTTGGGAGTGAATGGAAAAAAGACAGACACACATGTAAGGGTGAAAGCCACTGGGGTGCGCAGCACAGAGCCGAGTACATGGGTACGTTCACCCCCCTTATGCTCGCCATGCTGATCACCTGGGAGTGGAAGGAAATATATTGGGTGAGATACACAGTGGGTGACGTGACGGGGTGACTTTTGAGTCGACGTCACAGTGGGTGACGGGGTGACTTTTGAGTCGACGTCACAGTGGGTGACGGGGTGACTTTTGAGTCGACGTCACAGTGGGTGACGGGGTGACTTTTGAGTCGACGTCACAGTGGGTGACGGGGTGACTTTTGAGTCGACGTCACAGTGGGTGACGGGGTGACTTTTGAGTCGACGTCACAGTGGGTGACGGGGTGACTTTTGAGTCAACGTCACAGTGGGTGACGGGGTGACTTTTGAGTCGACGTCACAGTGGGTGACGGGGTGACTTTTGAGCCGACGTCACAGTGGGTGACGGGGTGACTTTTGAGTCGACGTCACAGTGGGTGACGGGGTGACTTTTGAGTCAACGTCACAGTGGGTGACGGGGTGACTTTTGAGTCGACGTCACAGTGGGTGACGGGGTGACTTTTGAGCCGACGTCACAGTGGGTGATGGGGTGACTTTTGCGTCGACGTCACAGTGGGTGACGGGGTGACTTTTGAGTCGACGTCACAGTGGGTGACGGGGTGACTTTTGAGTCGACGTCACAGTGGGTGACGGGGTGACTTTTGAGTCGACTCAAAAGTCACAGTGGGTGACGGTGACCTCTGTGGTGCGCCAGAGTGCCGTGAATTGCTGTAGGGTCTTTTTGAGCATTCCCGGGCGAGGGTTTGCAGAGGCACGAAAGCACAGCGACCGCCCCTGATGCTCCTCCCTCCCTTCCCTCCCTTCCCCCTCGTCCCTCCCGTCCCTCCCTTCAACGCACCAAGTTGAGCATGTACGCGAGGGAGAGAGGCAGCACTTGGGCGAGTGTTTGCAGGGGCACGAAAACACTGTGCCCGCCCCTGCTCCTCCCTTCCTCCCTCCCTTCCCTCCCTTCAACGCACCACGTTGAGCATGTACGCGCGAGAGAGAGGCAGCACTCGGCCGAGAGTCTGTAGAGGCACGAACGCACTGCGCCCGCCCCTGCTGCTCCTCCATCCCATCCCTCCCATCCCGCTCTGCCCCCTCCCTCCCTTCCTCCCGGTCTACAAGGAGAAGCACGTACCACGTTGAGCATGTACGCGAGGGAGAGAGGCAGCACTCGGCCGAGCGTAGACAGAGGCACGAAAGCACTACTAGCCACGTCGGGTGTTGCGGAGCTGTCCGCGAAGGTGAGAACGCCTGCCATGCGCAGCACGGCTAGGAGCGCCGTGGAGGAGAGAATCTGAGGGGGGAGGGAGAGGGAGGATGGGGAAGAAGTGAGAAGAGCCACGTCGGGTGTTGCGGAGCTATGGGCGAAGGTGAGAACGCCTGCCATGCGCAGCACGGCTAGCAGGGCCGTAGAGGACGAAGGTGGAGAGGGATGGGGAAGGGGGGAGAGCGGAGCATGGTGAGAGGCGCGAAAGCACTACTAGCCACGTCGGGTGTTGCGGAGCTATCAGCGAAGGTGAGAACGCCTGCCAGTCGCAGCACGGCTAGGAGGGCCGTAGAGGAGAGCATCTGAAGGTGGGAGGGCGAGGGCAGAGAGGGATGGGGAAAGAAGGGAGAGAGGAGCATGGTGAGAGGCACGAAAGCACTGCTAGCCACGTCGGGTGTTGCCGAGCTGTCTGCAAAGGTGAGAACGTTTGAGAGACGCAGCACGGCTAGCAGCGCTGTGGAGGAGAGCATCTGGAGGTGGGAGGGGGGAGAAGGGTGAAGAGCCACGTCAGGTGCTGCAGAGGAGTCTGCGAAGGTGAGAACGTTTGAGAGACGCCGCACGGCTAGCAGGGCCGTGGAGGAAAGCATCTGGAGGTGGGAGAAGGGGTGGAAGACGGAGGGAGTGGGGACGGGGTGCGGGAGGGAGATGGAGGGAGGATACTCATCAGCGAATGATAGAGTGTTTGCCAGTCGCAGCACGGCCAGCAGCGCCGCAGAGGAGAGCATCGGGAGGAGGGGGGGGGGAGAGGGATACGGTGGGGGTTACATTGCTTCCGCCTGCTACAGAGCCGTCTGCGCAGGTGAGTGAGAACGCTTGCCAGTCGCAGCACGGCCAGCAGCGCCGCAGAGGAGAGCATCTGGAGTTGGTGGGGGAGGGGGGGGGGAGATGAAAAGGGGAGAGAGGAGGGGAGGATACGCGTTAGATAATGAAAGAACGCTTGAGAGACGCAGCTCGGCTAGACGGGATGCAGAGGAGAGCTGTAGAGGGGGTCAGTGTGCATAGGCAAATACAGCAGAATACGCAAATACATGGGCTGCTGCTGTGCTGCTGTGTGGCTGCTGCTGGTGGTGGTTGTGAGAAGAAAAGTTAGAAGAGAAGTTGATGGATTGATTGAAAAGGATGGGGGGTTTACATAGGAGATGAGTTGGAAACTAGCCTAGGTGAACATTATTGGACCCCAACCAAGGAGTTGGGTTGGGAGATTATTGGTGGGGTCCAATAATGTTGGCCAAGTTGGAGTTGGGCCAACATTATTGGAGGGGACCAATAATTCTACCCATCCCAACCCTTGGGGTCCAATAATTGGACCAAGGTTGGGTTTCCAACCTACAAATTGGGTAACCCCTGCTTGTACACCCAAACTAAGTTTGGGTGCTTATCTCTAGCCTATCCTATAGCATATATGCAGGTTACAAGAGAGGAGATATTCTAACACAACCCCTTAACCTGCAGAGATGCGGAAAGGCTTGAGAGAAGCAACCCCTGAATCAAGGCGCGCCTGGGGGAGCGAGGCCAATGAGGCGGAGGAGAGCAGAGTGCGCGGGGCGAAGAAGTGCTTTGGTGAAGATATCCGCCAAATTGGCTTCAGTGGCGATCTTGCGGACGGCGATAAGATTCTGTCGGACGAGTTCGCGGATGAAGAAATAACGGAGCTCGATATGCTTGGAGCGACCATGAAAGACTGGATCCTGGGTGAGATGGATGGTGCTGGCGTTGTCACACCAGAGCGTGGGACAGCGCTGGGGGGCACCAAGCTCTGCCAGAAGAAAGCAGAGCCAGCGGGACTCTTGAGCGGCCATGGTGCCCGCATAGAGCTCAGCTTCGCAGGAAGAGAGAGCGATGGCTGAGGAGCGGGTGGAACGCCAGCTGATAAGTCCGCTGCCGAGGGTAAAGCCATAGCCTTGGGAGGAGCGGCGGTCTGGCTGATTGTCTGCCCAGGAGGAGTCACTGAAGCCCGAGAGAAGGGGAGGGGAGGATCCACCCAGTGTGAGAGCGTGATCCTTGGTGCCGCAGAGATAGCGAAGGACCCGCTTGGCGGCAGCCCAGTGTTCCTCAGTGTGACGGCCAGAGCCGACGAACCGAGCAAGGACGCTGACGGGGTAGGCGAGGTCGGGGCGGGTGCACATCATCGCGTACATCAGCGACCCAACGAGCTCGGCGTAGGGCCGGGAGGAGGAGGAGGGGGAGGTGGGTGGCGCAAGTTGGTGACCGAAGGGGAGGGGGGTGGAGACTGGTTTGGCCTGCGCCATCTCAAACTTCTCCAGGACCTGGCCGATGTAGTGGGACTGGGAGAGAGTGATGGTGCGGGCGGATCGATCACGGGTGATAGCCATGCCGAGGTAGTTCTGGAGGGGACCAAGGTCCTTGCACTTGAGTCGTTCCTGAAGTGACCGCTTCATCTGGTCCATGTCGGCCCTGGAATCCGCCAGCAGGATCATGTCGTCAACGTAGACCGAGATGAAAAAGCGACTGGGGGAAGAGCGGATGAAGAGGCTGGCGTCGGAGTGGGAGGGGGAGAAGCCAAGGGACTGGAGAGTAGCAGACAGCTTCGCATGCCATTCTCGTGGTGCCTGCTTCAGGCCGTAGACCGGTCGCTTCAGCTGCCAGACGGTGTTGTCGGGGAACGTAGCATGGAACCCGGGAGGTCGGCGGAGAAAGATGCGTTCGTGCAGTTCACCTTGCAGGAAAGCGTTGGAGACGTCCATGGAGTCAATCTCCATGTCGTCTCTTGCACCGATGTCAAGAAGGGTGCGTAGGGTGGCCTGCTTGACGGTGGGGGCGAACGTGAACCAGTAGTCCTCAGCCCAGGTCTGGGTGAACCCCTTGGCAACGTAGCGGGCTTTGTAGACTGGTTCTTCTCCCGGCAGCTGCTTGACTCGAAAGATCCACTTGCCCTCAACCAGGTTGGCGTCAGGAGGGAGGGGAACGTCAATGAAGGAGTTATTGTGGATGAATGCTTCACATTCCTGGAAGATGGCGGCTATCCACTTATCGGCGTCAGGGCAGGTGATAGCCTCTTGGAAGGTGGAGGGGACGAAGATGGTGGGAGCGGGGATCGCGCTAAGGAGTAGGGCGCCGAGGAGGTCAGGGGAAAGTACTGTGAGAGAGGGAGTGTGGCGCCGGACCATGGTGAACTCCTCATGGGAGTCCTCCAGTTGGTTGAGGGAGGGAGGAGACGGCACACCAAGGATGGGGTCAAGGGAGCGGGTGTGCATGCGAGGGAGGAGGAAGGGTGAGGAGCGGGCAATTGCCCTGCGCCGCTGCTGCTGCTGGTGCTGCTGGAACCCCTGCTGCTGCTGCGGCTGCTGTTGCTGTTGTGGCTGCTGCGGCTGCTGCTGCTGCCGCTGCTGGTGCTGCCCTTGCTGCTGCTGCGGCTGGTGCAGCTGTTGCTGCTGCTGCTGCTGCTGCTGCTGTTGCTGCGGCTGCTGCTGCTGCCGCTGCTGCCGCTGCTGCCGCTGCTGCGCGGCGGCCGCCGCCGCCGCCGCAGCCGCCGCTGCTGCTGCTGCTGCTGCTGTGATGGATGAGGAGGGGAGTGGGAAGGGGAGGGGGGAGGGGGAGCCGTGGAGTGTGCGGGGGAGGCAGGAGCAGTGGGATCGTAGACGTCGGCGGATGAAGGTGGCGGAAGCGGGGTGGGGAGGGGTGGGAGAAGGGGTGCCGCCGGAGGGAGGAGGGGAGGGAGGACGGTGTCGACCCAAGCGAGAGGACGTGTGGGAGGAGGGAGGGGGTCCGGTGGTGGAGAGGAGTAGTACGGGGTGGTCTCATCGAACACAACGTCAATGCTGCGGATGAGGCGACCAGAGGGAGGGTGAAGGAAGAGGTAACCAGGCGAGTCGCGGTTGTGTCCGAGGTAGACACACTCGAGGGCGCGAGGAGCGAGCTTGCCTTGGGTGCGGTCGGGTGGAGGAATAAGCACATATGCCTTGCAACCCCAGACACGGAGACCGGCAGCGTCAGGTTTGGTTCCTGACCAGAGCTCCGTGGGGGTAGCGGCAGTGTGTTGGGGATGGGAGTGAAGGTTGAGGAGGAGGGCAGCATGGAGGAGGGCATAGCCCCAGAGAGAGGGAGGGGTGGAGGCGTGAGCAAGGAGACAGCGGGCGATCTTAGTGATTTCGCGAATGCGGCTTTCTGCAACGCCGTTCTGCTGTGGGGAGTGGGGAAGAGTGTGGGTCTGTTGGATGCCATGGGTGGTGCAGTAGTGAGAGAGAGTGCGGTTGAGGAATTCGCCTCCCCCATCAGAGTGGAGGCGGCCGATGGGACGTTTGAAGTGGGTGCGGCATTGCTCTGCCCAGTTAATGATAATGGTCGGCGCCTGGTCTTTGGTGTGGAGGAGGAAAATGGAGGAGTAGCGGCTGTGATCGTCAACAAGAACCAACATGTAGCGATGGCCTTGGCGTGAGCGGGTGGGAGAGGGCCCCCAGAGGTCCATATGGACAAGGTCAATGGGTGCAGGAGCAAAGGATGGGTGGCTGTGGTGAGGAGATTGTTTGAGTTTGCCGTGGATGCCGGAGGGGCATGGGGGGGCTAGGGAGGAGGGAAGGGGAGGAAGAGTTGGAAGGAGGCTGTGAAGAAGTCGTGAGGTGACGGCAGTGCGGAGAGCGGCAAAATTCGGATGGCCGAGTCGGTGATGTAGGAGAACAGCGGGGTGGGAGAGATGGTCGGAGGTGGAGGGGATTGGAATGAGTGAGGAAGGGATGGAGGAGTGGGGAGGAGACGGAGTGGGAGGAGAGGGAGGGAGATGGGGAGGGCTGGTGGAGGTACCCGCACGAGTGGTAACATGGCAGGAGGATGGCCACGGAGTGCGGAGAGTGTAGAGGCGAGTTTGAGGGCAGAGGGGTATGCGGAGGAGGAAGCGGCCGGAGGCAGTGTGGTAAAGGTCACAGTAGGTGGCATTACCAGGATAGACGGCAGTGATACCTGCACCTTGGATTTCACGGTGGGAGAGGAGGTTGTTTCGGAGAGTGGGGATGTGGAGACCAGTTACCTTGCCAGAGGGGAAGAGTGAACAGGGGAGAGTGGAGAGGTGTGTGCATGGGATGGTGAAGCTGCTGTCAGCACCGTGAACTTGAGTGGGAGGGGAGAGGGGTGTGAGTGTACCAGCGTCTTTGAGGGCGGTCTCAGTGGCCCCACTGTCAAGGACAAAGTCCAGAGTGGGTGAGGAGGAGGAGGAAGACACTGAGTACTGGAAAGTGGTTTCATTAATGTTGGATGGGTACATGGAAGGAAGAGAGGGCGAAATAGCTATGTTGCCAAGGAAGCTCTCGTGAGTGAGAGGGGTGGCAGTGCTACTAGGGGGGGGTGGGGCACCCCAAAGGGGGGCAGGTGAGGCTTGAGCGGCCATGGCTGCTGTGCCAAAGTTCAACTGCTGCTGCGGCCAGGGAGGAGGGCTGGGTCCCCACTGTGGCTGGGGTCCTGACCCCCATGGGTGCTGCGGCGGCTGTGGGTGCTGCGGCGGCTGTGGCTGCTGCTGCTGCTGCGGCTGAGGGTGAAACAGCTGCTGTAACTGCTGCTGCTGCTGCTGCTGCTGCTGCTGCTGGAGGTGCTGCTGCTGGAGGTTGAGGAAGGGTGTGGGGGGAGCAAGGAGGCGGAGGTGGGCTGGGAGGTAGGCTGGATTGGTTTGGATATCGGTGGGGGAGGGGCGTGGGGAGATGTTGCCCCACTTTGGAGGAGTGCCAACGTTACCCCGCGCGTACCAGGCATCGTCGAGAGCCTTGAAGCACGTGCCAGGGGGATGGTTGGTCTGTCCGCAGGGAGTTCCAGCCCGAGGACCATAGCGGCGGACATAGGTGCAGGGAGGAAGCGTGCCAGGGCGACTCCCGCGACTTGCAGTGGGTCCACCCGAAGTGGTGGTGCCGTGCTCATCCCCAGTGGTGCCACCACGGTTGTTGCTGCTTCCCGAACCACCACCTCCCTTGCCCCCACCTCCTCCTTTGCCGTTGTTCTTTCCCTGCTTGCGAGGCTGGGTAGCGTTGAGGGAGGAGGAGGTGGGTTGGGAGGAGGCGAGGTTGACGATGGGTGTACGGAGTTTAACTTCGGTGTCGATAATCCACTGTTCAACGGAGGCGAGACCGGCCATGGGATTGGCTTCGGTAAAGGCGTGGAGGCGGGATTCGTAGTCTGGGGTGAGGTTAAAGAGGAGGCGGTGGATTTGAAGAGGTTCGGAGAGGCCGGCCTGGCGGGCTTCGAGGCGATCAGCTACCTCGCGCATGCGTCCGACGTAGTCGACTGCTCCGTCACAGGTGGCGAGGGTGATGGAAAAATACTCTTGGAAGAGGATGCCGACGGAGCTGATGTCGCGGCGCTCAAACATGGCATGGAGTTCTGCCCAGATGACCGAGGCACGGAGTTCCCGAGCCTGGAAGCGACGCATGAGGGAGTCAGGGAGAGCTCCAAGGAGAACGGTGCAGGCACGGGTGTCAGCAGCTGTCCAGGCGATGAGTCTGGGGGTGAAGTCAGCCATGTCGACCTTGTATTTGGCGACGACCTCGAGGTGAGCGTCGCGACCAGCAACCGCCTGATCATAGGCCTCAACTGCAGCATCGTACTCGGCTTTGCGGATGAGGTATTCACGGCGGCGTAGGATAAAATCAGTGTCCGCAGTGGCTTGGTCGGGGGTGATCTGAAGATCGGGTTCACGAGGAGGGTCGCCAGGAGTAGGAGGAAGAGGAGGAGTCTCGCCGGGGTGGGGAGGTTCGGTGGGGGGGAGGGCATGGGGGCGGCGGAGGATGACGTCAAGGACACGGTAGGGGGGAACCCATGCGTCGGAGAGAACGCGTCGGATGCTGCCGACGAAGGAGTGCCAGTTGACTGCGGACTTGTCCGCGGCGAGCTGGAGCTTATCAATGGAGGACGTGTCAATAGGAGGAGGGAGGGGGGCGGGGGAAGGTGCGGCGGTAGCCATGAAGGACGGCCGCGGGGGGACCCGCAGTGGTCACGGAGGAGAGGGAGGTGAGGCGGCGACGAGGCCGCAGAGGGGAGCGGAGCTGGCGGCGGCGGCTGACGAGGCCGCGGCGGCGCTAGCGTGGAGGCGGCGATGGGGCCGCGGAGAGGCGCAGGCGGCGGCGGCAGCTGGCGCAGCCGCGGCGGTACAAGCGCGGAGGCGGCGACAAGGCCGCGGGAGGGAGCGGCGCGAGCGGCGGCGGTTGGCGAAGCCGCGGCAGTGCCGGCGCGGAAGCGGCGACGGGGTCGCGGGAGGGAGCGGCGCGAGCGGCGGCGGCTGGCGAAGCCGCGGCAGTGCAGGCGCGGAGGCGGCGACGAGGCCGCGAGAGGGAGCGGCGCGAACTGCGGCGCTGGCGAGGCCGCGGCAGTGCAGGCGCGGAAGCGGCGACAAGGCCGCGGGAGGGAGCGGCGCGAGCGGCGGCGGCTGGCGAAGCCGCGGCAGTGCCGGCGCGGAAGCGGCGACGGGGTCGCGGGAGGGAGCGGCGCGAGCGGCGGCGGCTGGCGAAGCCGCGGCAGTGCAGGCGCGGAGGCGGCGACGAGGCCGCGAGAGGGAGCGGCGCGAGCTGCGGCGCTGGCGAGGCCGCGGCAGTGTAGGCGCGGGGGCGGCAATGAGGCCGCGGGAGGGAGCGGCGCGGACGGCGGCGGCTGGCGAGGCCGCGGCAGTGCAGGCGCGGAAGCGGCGACGGGGTCGCGGGAGGGAGCGGCGCGAGCGACGACGGCTGGCGAAGCCGCGGCAGTGCAGGCGCGGAGGCGGCGACGAGGCCGCGGAAGGGAGCGGCGGCGGCGACGGCGGCTGGTGGGGCCGCAGTGGCGTTGGCGCGGAGGCGGCGTCGAGGCCGCGGAATGGGGCGGGCGGTGGCGGTCGGCGGGACCGCGACAAGGCGAGCGCGGAAGCGGCGGTGGGGCCGCGAGCCGTGATGGCGTGGGAGGCCGTGGGGCTGCGAGGAAGGGAGTGCTTGAGGAGAGGGGGAGGGTGGCGAGATAGCCGCGGAGAAATGAGAAAGGAGGCCGGGGGTTGCGGCGGCCTTTGAAAAAAAACTAGGAGCGTAGGCCTAGGATTTTTAAGAGCTCTATACCATGTGAGAAGAAAAGTTAGAAGAGAAGTTGATGGATTGATTGAAAAGGATGGGGGGTTTACATAGGAGATGAGTTGGAAACTAGCCTAGGTGAACATTATTGGACCCCAACCAAGGAGTTGGGTTGGGAGATTATTGGTGGGGTCCAATAATGTTGGCCAAGTTGGAGTTGGGCCAACATTATTGGAGGGGACCAATAATTCTACCCATCCCAACCCTTGGGGTCCAATAATTGGACCAAGGTTGGGTTTCCAACCTACAAATTGGGTAACCCCTACTTGTACACCCAAACTAAGTTTGGGTGCTTATCTCTAGCCTATCCTATAGCATATATGCAGGTTACAAGAGAGGAGATATTCTAACAGTGGTTTGGGTTGGGTAGAAGTAGCCAGGTGGGGAGGAGAGCGTATTGGAGGGAAAAAACTTCAAGAAAATGTTCCAAGGTACTTTTCCAATGTAATGTTTCAAGGTACTGTTTCAAGTTTATGTTTCAGCGAAGAAAGAACAGCACATGAGAGAGGGGGGAGAGGAGAGGAATGGGGAGAGCGGCAACAGAAGCTCATTACACGAAGGAAAAGGACGACATGAAATGAGTAACTCGGTTTAACCTTCTCTCAATAAGGGTCAAGGACGAGAGGGAGAGAAGGGGGGATACCTGGAAGTGAACGATGACGTCACCTGAGGAGTACTAATGACGTCCGGGAGGGTAGTGATGACGTCACCTGAAGTAGAGAGATGACGTTGGCGCAGGGGAAGTTGAAGGAGGAGAGGGCGGCCTTGTTGAACATAACGAGTGTGACTGTAGGGGAGGTACGAGATGAGCACGTATAGTAGGGGAAGAAAAAAGAAGAAACGGGTAAGGAGGATGGTAAAGAATGAGTCACATATCGGTTGAACAATGGCGCAGATGACGGTACGACCTTGAACTGCTCAATCCCATCAGCTCAGATCACGGAGAGAATCCAAATGAACCGGAGTTATCGCATCTAACTTGAACCTCAAAGAGTGCGTCTCAGATGGCTGAGCGATGGTGTAGAAACACCTACATTGTTCAATCTCATCAGCTCATATCTAAAAAAAACTCCAAATGTACGTGAGTTATCGCACTCAAAACCCATGCCTTTTCGAAATAAGAAGAAAACGAAACGTATTATCGAACAGTAACCCGAAATAACCTGAAACAAGCCACCCGAACTACCCGAAGCGCGTCATCCGAACTATCCGAAGCGCGTAACCCGAACCACCCAGAACACGCAAGCCCGAACATTCCGAAGCACCTAGCCGTAGTAACTACCTGCGCAGAACATATACGAGACTGCGGCGAGCATCCCGCGCCGCGTCATGCTCCCATCCAGCTTCTCATCCGCCCGTATCGGCAGCAGATTCTGCTTTTGAGGCGCCTCGTCCGCCTCGAAACTCATCACGCGCCGCGCCTTGCTCCCTTCAACCTTCTCGTCCGCGGCCCGTAGTAACGGGTTCTGAATCGACTCATAGCTCGTCGCGTTCTGGATCGACTCGAAACTCACGCGCCGCGTGATGGTCCCCTCAGACTTCTCATCCGCCAGAACCGGCAACAGATTCTGCTTCTCCTCGCGATGCGCTTCATTGGATAGAGCGTCCATCTGGACAGAATCTAGGCAGCGCTATTGATGAAAGAGGCTGTCTAGAAAATAATAAAATCGCGATTGTACTTCGACAGTGGTGTTAGGATTCGCGATTGCTTTATTACTCGCAGTCGCAGCCAGCACCACTGAAAAAAGAAAAGCTGTTGCAATGCAATGCAACCCCGCCTGGCATCCATGGCGTCGACCACCGCCGGGGCCGGCAAACTATATGTAACACACACGAGCTGGTCTCGTTTCGCACGGAACTTCCACGATCCACATGCCTCCGCTCGATTTCCACGCTCATCCAGATTTTTCTTGCTCGAGCAAGTTTTTGACGACATCGGTCGACGCTGGTCGTACGTCGAACCTCGAAGTGCAGCTCCCACCCCAAGAGTCCAGCCAAGACGAGACTCCGGGACTGAGTGAAGATAAGGAAATGGTCGTGTCGTCGTGGATCGTGCGTGGCGTGAGAGAAAGCACGAGGGAATACTGTAGTGGATTGGGAGAAGCGCTCTGCTGGATCCCAAGTTGTGCTTGTACAGTAGCTCAGTCAAGGAGGACGGTAGCGCAGTCAAGAAGAACCGAACGATCGTGCGGTGGAAATGGGTTTACTGTGCCGTTGACGAGGTTGTTGGGAATGAAGTGGTTGGATATGGGTTCGCAGAAGCGGGATTCGCGAAAAGTTTCACGAAAGATAATGTGACAAGAACCAATGTACTGGCAAAAAGGAAGAACCGATCCTGTGATCGACTTTCAAAATAGTGCTGAAAGATGTAAATGCATTTCGCAGGTCTTCAATACGTCCGATCACCGAACAGGCGAGCGATCTTGGAAAAAACGGCTAGAGGTAACGCGTCCTGAGGCTTCGAGTGGTTTGGGAAAGTGGCATGCTTCGAGGCTCAGGACGGTTTCACACGGTTAAGCGGTTTTCAAGCAATGTACCCAAATTATTTAGGGCCTAGGGCGCGCAAGAATTCTCAACCTTAGGGTTGCATGTTTCGCTATCTCGTCCAGGTGTATGGTTTGTGCGACGTCGTCAACAAACCCAAACGGACGATCCAACAGTTCGCAAGAGATTGGCCCAAGTACAATGTACGAATCCATTGTACAGTGTGTTTGACGATCGGCGATAATTTTCCGATTTCGAAATGTCCTGTATCAGGTTACAAAGATACAGAGAACCTCTAACGAGGATCCAGTGTCACCTTTGCATCCAGGCGGGTCGAAGTTACAAACGTCATAACGGACGGTCTAGTTCTCGATAAAAGAACCGCCCACTTCGATATAAGCGGACAGTATGAAGAACAAGAAGGAAAATATTATGCAGCTTTATAGAAGCTAGCTTTGCAGTAAGACCACGCCTCTCGTGTAAGGAGATATGGGCGTGATTATAAGTATAATGTTTGTGATAGGGCTAATCAGCTATGGTTAATCAATCTGTAACGAGTTTACATAAATGGAACAATGACGGTAGAAATCCACCATCAATCAGTCTGAATAAACGTTAATATGAGTGTCTTTAGAAGTGATGTCTGGTCTGTCAAAATCGCTAGACGCTTCAAACGAGGATTTGTAAACTGTACGGAATTTGCGTACCCGAGCCTATCAGGGACCGAGTGATTCCCAAGAAGACGAGTGATTATTATTTTGACCAGAAACAAGACACTACTTATCTTCCACCTTTCACCATAGCTGATTAGCCGATCAGGCAACCTTTCACCTGTGGCTGATTAGGCAATGTTAGGCGTTTCCTGCTGCAGCTGCTGATCAAGCGGTGTCAGATCGCTCAAATCCTACCGTCTTGAACTGAGCGGCGCGCGTCGAGTTGTTTATCGCGGAAACATGGCGGAAAGGCGTCGAGCGGGAGGGGTGAGTCGTAGCTATTCAAATCAAATCTACTTGTATCTCACTGAATGCTCTATACTGTCACTCGCCGATGACGTACCGCTTCGAGAACTTTCTTAGAGATTCTTGAATGCCGATAAGGCACTGCCAATAAGGCCGAGCGTTATAATACAATGTCGGCATAGATGGCTCCCAGAACGCCGTCTTGACGTCAGATGATGTCAGCATCATAAATGTTAACGTTTATCGTCCAATGGTCAGTCCAAGGCCCAACTCTGTCGGTCAGTTTCGTATCGTTCCCCTCTCACCACAATCACCCTTTGCAAGTCGATTCAGCCGTCGATTCACCCACATAGTGTGGTTTCAGCCGATTCAGATTCCCCTTTGAGACCACTGAGTCTTCGCCTGCAATCCCCTCTCCCCCAGCACTCACCCTCCGCTTCCCCCGCTTCCGCCTTCCCCCGCGACTTTTACACTACTTCCTCCCGCCCCTTACCCCCATTTCGCCTGCAATCCCCTCTCCCCCAATGCCCATCCTCCGCTCCCCCCGCTTCCGCAGTCCCCTGCGACTTTTCCGGTCTTTCTCCCGGCTTTTTTCCTTATTCCGCCTGCATCCCCCTCTCTTTCCCCGCATCTGCTCCCCATCTGTTCCCCCTCCCTGTTTCCCCCTTCCTGTTTCAGTCTCCCAGTTTTTCCCTCCCCATTCGCCGTCCCTATTCCCCCTTGTTCCGCCCTTCCCTTCTCCTCCCTCCCCCTCCCAGCCCCGTCCCCTCACCATGGGGCGCAAGCGCACAGCCCTCCCCCGCCTGCTCTCCCCCAGTGGCTCCCCCTTGGGCTTTGGGGGCTTTGGGGGCTTTGGGGGCGGAGGGGACGGCTCCAGCGCCACACTCAAGATAGCTTCCTTTGGACTCACTGTCCCCCCTCCTCTTCTCTGCTGCCTTTCCCCCCTCCTCCCTCCTCCCTGTTCCCCCTCCCCTTTCCCTTGTTCCCCTCCTCGCTCCCCCTCCCCCTTTCCCCATTTCCCCTTCCACCCAGCCCCGTCCCCTCACCATGGGGCGCAAGCGCGCAGCCCTCCCCCGCCTGCTCTCCCCCAGCGGCTCCCCCCTGGGCTTTGGGGGCTTTGGGGGTGGAGTAGACGGCTCCAGCGCCACACTCAAGAAAGCCCTCCTTGGCCTCAGTAATCCTCCTCCCTTCCCCCCCCTCCCTGTTTCCCTTCCCCTGTCCGCTACTTGTTCCCCCTCCCCTCTCCCCCTCCCCTTCCTTCTTCCCCTCGTTCCCTCTCCTCCCCCCAGCCCCGTCCCCTCACCATGGGGCGCAAGCGCGCAGCCCTCCCCCGCCTGCTCTCCTTGGCCTCAGTGTTCCCCTTCCTTCCCCTCTCCCCCTCCCCGCTCCTCCTCACCCTTCCCCCCTCCCCCCTACCCTCCCCCTCCCAGCCCCGTCCCCTCACCATAGGGCGCAAGCGCACAGCCCTCCCCCGCCTGCTCTCCCCCAGCGGCTCCCCCTTGGGCTTTGGGGGCTTTGGGGGTGGAGTAAACGGCTCCAGCGCCAACCTCAAGATAGCCCTCCTTGGCCTTGCCGCATGCCTTTTCTGCCTGCTTATCCTCGTTATAGTCGTCCTCTTTGCCCTGGTAAGTCGTCATCCCAGCGTGCTCTCCGCCAGCGGTTCCCCCCTGGCCTTTGGGGGCTTTGGGGGTTTTGGGGGCTTTGGGGGTTTTGGGGGCTTTGGGGGCAGAGGGGATGGGTCCAGCGCCACACTCAAGATAGCCCTGCTTGGCCTCAGTAATCCCCCCCTCTCCCCTCCTCACTGGCTTTGGGGGCGGAGGGGATGGGATGGGGGCGGAGCCACACTCAAGATAGCCCTCCTTGGCCTCGCCGCATGCCTCTTCTGCCTGCTTATCCTCGTTATAGTCGTCCTCTTTGCCCTGGTGGGTCATCCCCGATATAAGCTACCCCATTGGCTTGCTAGGAAGATTTTACCGTAAGAAAACCCCTGCTGGGCTTGCACCCAGCCTCTTCTGCCTGCTTATCCTCGTTATAGTCGTCCTCTTTGCTCTGGTGGGTCATCCCCGTTATAAGCTCCCCTTTGTGCTTCGTTAGGTGCGCAATTCCCTTTCTGCTTGAACTTCTTGACTGCATCTTTTGCATGCTCATCCTTGTTTCTGCATCTTTTGAACTTCTCTCTATTTGCTCTAACAATAAATCATCCTCGTTACATACAGTATCTCTGTTCTTCTATCTAGCCCTGGTTAGCAGTTATGGTTACTAACATTCTCACTATAATACCATCCCACTCCCACTGCCCTCCCCACATTCCCCTCCTTAAGTCCTCCAGCACACCCTCCCCTGTCCGTTCCCCCCCTCCTCTACCCTCCCATTTCTGCTGCCGCTCCCTCTCCCCTCCCTTTCCCATCTCACTTCTTTTTAGGCGCCCTAAATATGCCGCCCTCTCTCCCCTCCCTTTCTTTATCATGCCGCTCTGCCAGCTCATCAGCATGAGGTGGTCGTCTGCTGACGTGGCTGCCAGCCTGGCAGCGCGAGAGCCACTGAGTAAGTGATGAAACCTGGATTGGTCTGGCCCGTCTTAATTCACCCATGCTCGACCCATGGTTGATCCATGCTCGACTTTTGGGTTTAGGGTTGGGTGGTTGACCCTTGACCCATGCTCGACCCATGGTTGATCCATGCTCGACTCATGGTTGATCCATGCTCGACTCATGGTTGATCCATGCTCGACTCATGCTTGATCCATGCTCGACTCATGCTTGATCCATGCTCGACTCATGGTTGATCCATGCTCGACTCATGCTTGATCCATGCTCGACTCATGCTTGATCCATGCTCGACTCATGCTTGATCCATGCTCGACTCATGCTTGATCCATGCTCGACTCATGCTTGATCCATGCTCGACTTTTGGGTTTAGGGTTTGGGTGGTTGACCCTTGACCCATGCTCGACCCATGCTCGACCCGTGCTCGACCCATGCTCGACTCGACCCATGCTCGACCCATGCTCGACCCATGCTCGACTCGACCCATGCTCGACCCATACTTGTCTCCTTTTCTCCCCCCCCCCTCTCCCACGCCCTGGCGCTCCTTTCCTCTCCGCCTCTCCTCTCTCCTTGCAGCTGCTGACGCGCTGAGAGGGAGGAAGGCGCATGTAGGCATGATGAGGGATCATCAATCAAGGCATGGGAGGTGCGCTATTCATCTCCTCTTCCTTTCCTCCATTCCCCCCCTCGCCCCCTACCCCTGCCCTCTTGCCCTCTCCTTGCAGCTGCTGACGCGCTGAGAGGGAGGAAGGCGCATATCGGCATGATGATGGATCATCAGGGCATGGTACGTGCTCCATCTCTCCTTCCCCATCCCTCTGTCCTCCTTGCCCCCCTTACTCGTTCTTGAGACTTCTAAACTGTGATTCCGAAATGGAGGAAGGCGCATTTAGGCATGATGATGGATCATCAGGGCATGGTACGTGCTCCATCTCTCTCTGTCCCTTACCCCGCCCTCCGCAACCCTCATCTCTCATCTCTCATCTCTCATCTCTTCATCTGTTGCCAATGCCACTCTATACTCTCTCCCTACCCTGCCCGCCCCAGCTCAATACCACCGCTGCTGCAGGCAGTAGTAAAAACCCCAGCGAGAAGGCTAGTAACGAGGGTGGTGCGGCTAATAACGAGGATAAAGACCCAGCTGGTGCTGCTGACGAGGATGAGGATGATGATGACGAGGCGGGCGGCGGGGGGCTGTCGAGCCGGAGGAAGGAAGCTGCGCGGAAGCTTCAGCAGTGGAGGGAGTTTTTCAGAGGGGTGGTTCTGGTGCTGCACTTTAGCAGGTGAGTTGGGGTGGGATGGGGATGGGGGGTGGAGATGAGTGTTGGTGAGAATACTTTTGAGTCGACACAAAAGCTTTTCCAAGGGGTGGTGCTGTTGCTGCACTTTAGCAGGTCAGTTGGGGTGGGATGTTGATTTAGACATGAGTGGATGGGTGGTAGTGGGTCAAGAGGGGTGGTTCTGGTGCTGCACTTTAGCAGGTCAGTTGCGCTTTGATGGGGATGAGTGAAGGAGAGGAATGGGTGACAGTCCGGATGGGGATGGAGTGAGAATGAGTGTGGTGAGGAGGGAATGAGTGTGGTGAGGAGGGAATGAGTGTGGTGAGGAGAGCTTGAGTTTGGTCATCGTGTTGATGCATGCTTCCCTGCCCTTTTGTGCGTCCTCACCTCTGGTACATACGTTGCACTCTTACAGCCCACGTGTTATGTACGGCCGCGTATTGTGCTGCCAGTGCCTCCTCCCTGTCTTCCTTCCACCTGTGTTCTTTTCTCACTATGTGACTGCACATTGCCGGCCAGTGCGCGCATGGCAGACATTGGAGTTCTGGCGGCACGTGTTATGTACGGCCGCGTCTTACTCCTCTTCCTCTGTCTTCCCTCCTCGGCTACTCGTTTCGCCGTCTTACAGGCCTGTGCGCGCATGGCAGACACTGGAGTTCTCGTGCCATGTGTTGTGTACGGCCGCGTGTTCGACAGTGTCTAGGTCAACTGTCTATCTTCCCTTGTGCTCGTTTTGCCCACTGATACAGGCCAGTGCGCGCATGGCAAACACTGGAATTCTGGCGCCACGTGTACGGTCGCGTGTTTGACGATATGGTGACAGTTTCAACGGAAGCAATCCCCGAGCTGGGAGTCATTGCGGTATGCTCCCTCACCCACACACTCTTCCTCTTCCTCTTCCTCTGCCTCTTCCTCTTCCTCTTCCTCACGCCGTTTCCCTTCCCTCGTGTACGGCCTCGTGTTCGACGATATGGTGACGGTGTCAACTGAAGCCATCCCCGAGCTGGGAGTCATTGCGGTATGTAAGCCCACCCACATGCACGCACCCACCCCCTGCCCACCCGCCCACCCTCCCATCCACTCCCTCCGCCTTTATTCGACGATATGGTGACTGTTTCAACGGAAGCAATCACCGAGCTGGGAGTCATTGTGGTATGCTCACACCCACTCGCACCCACTCCCTCCCTTCCACTCCTTCACACGCACCCACAACCTGTGCTTCTTGTACCTCTTCCATTCCCACGTGTACGGCCGCGTGTTTGACGATTTCGTGACTGTTTCAACGGAAGCAATCGCCGAGCTGGGGGTCATTGCGGTATGCTCCCTCACCCACCCACACCCTCTCTTCCTCCGCTTCTCCTCTGTACGATTCGGCTGCCGCGTGTTTGACGATTTCGTGACTGTTTCAACGGAAGCAATCGCCGAGCTGGGGGTCATTGCGGTATGCTCCCTCACCCACCCACACCCTCTCTTCCTCCGCTTCTCCTCTGTACGATTCGGCTGCCGCGTGTTTGACGATTTCGTGACTGTTTCAACTGAAGCAATCGCCGAGCTGGGGGTCATTGTGGTATGCTCCCTCACCCACCCACACCCTCTCTTCCTCCGCTTCTCCTCTGTACGATTCGGCTGCCGCGTGTTTGACGATTTCGTGACTGTTTCAACTGAAGCAATCGCCGAGCTGGGGGTCATTGTGGTATGCTCCCTCACCCACCCACACCCTCTCTTCCTCCGCTTCTCCTCTGTACGATTCGGCTGCCGCGTGTTTGACGATTTCGTGACTGTTTCAACGGAAGCAATCGCCGAGCTGGGGGTCATTGCGGTATGCTCCCTCACCCACCCACACCCTCTCTTCCTCCGCTTCTCCTCTGTACGATTCGGCTGCCGCGTGTTTGACGATTTCGTGACTGTTTCAACTGAAGCAATCGCCGAGATGGGGGTCATTGCGGTATGCTCCCTCACCCACACACACCCTCTCTTCCTCTCCTTCGTACCCACTCCCGCTGCCTGTATTTGACCAAGTGGTGACAGTCTCAACGGAAGCAATCCCCGAGCTGGGGGTTATTTCGGTACGCTCTGTTCCCCCGCACCCACCCTCACGCACCCAGTACCCACTCCGTCGTACCCACTCCCTTCCCTTGTGTACGGCCGTGTTCGGCCATATGGCGACCATTCGACCGTATGGCTACCATTCGGCCACATGTGTCAACTGAAGCTATTTTTGAGTCGACTAAAAAATAAGTGCCCACTCCCTTCCCTTGTGTACGGCCGTGTATTCGACCGTATGGCGACCATTCGGCCATATGTGTCAACTGAAGCCATCCCTGAGCTGGGAGTCATCGCGGTATGCTCGCACGCATCAAACCTCCTTCCCCACCCCTCCCCTCCCCTCCCCTCCCCTCCCCTCCCCTCCCCTCCCCTCCCCTCCCCTCCCCTCCCCTCCCCTCCCCTCCCCTCCCCTCCCCTCCCCTCCCCTCCCCACCCGTCCCTTCCTCTCCCCTTTCCTACCTTCCCCTGCCGTCTCCACCCTTCCCCTCACTTCGCCTCCCCTTCCTGCGTCCATGCCCTTCGCCCACTTAATCCCACTTCCCTTCACTTCCCCTCCACTTCCTCTCTCTCCTACACCCCTCTCCCAACCATTACGGAGCAACACGCATCAGCCTCTCACTGCCTTGCTCCCTCCCTCTGCACCCTTGATCACCCCTCGCCAGGCCACTCCCTCCCCCACCACCAACGCGGACGCCTCTCTCTCCTACACCGCTCTCCCCACCATCATGCATGGAGCAACACGCCTCAGCCTCTCACAGACACCGTCATGCCTTGCCCCGGCTGCATCTGACTGTGATGTGGCATTGCCCCTCCCACCCCTCCAGGCAACACCCTCCCCTGCTGCCGACACCGATGCCTCTCTCCCCTACACCGCTCTCCCCACCATCATGGAGCAACACGCCTCAGCTTCTGGCTTCCTGTGTCCATGTTCTGTTGTGGCTATACCCCTTCCCTCCAGGCCGCACCCTCCCCCACCATCAACGCTGACGCCTCTCTCTCCTACACTGCTCTCCCCACCATCATGGAGCAACACGCCTCAGCCTCTGACTGGCTGCTTTTCTTCCTCTCTCTTCCCACCCCTCCCCTTCTCCAGGCCACACCCTCCCCCGCTGCCAACACCGATGCCTCTCTCTCCTACACCGCTCTCCCCAGCACCATGGAGCAACACGCCTCAGACTCGGGCTTCCCCTGTCTCTGTTGTGCTGTGTTGTGTTGCGTTGTGTCAATACCCCTTGCTCCCAGGCCACGCCCTCCCTTGCCACCAACACCGACCCCTCTCTCTCCTACACCGCTCTCCCAACCATTATGGAGCAACACGCCTCAGCCTTGGCCTTCCTCTTTTGTGCTGTTCATGCCTCTTCCCCACTCCCCACTCCCCACTCCCCACTTCCCTCCAGGCCAAACCCTCTCCCACCACCAATGCGGACGCCTCTCTCCCCTACACCGCTCTCCCCACCATCATGGAGCAAACATGCCTCAACTAAACCACTGACTGCCTTTCTCCTCTCTCTTTCTCGCCCCTCCCATTCCCCAGGCAACACCCTCCGCTGCTGCCAACGCGGACGCCTCTCTCTCCTACACCGCGTTCCCCACCATCATGGAGCAACACGCATCAGCCTCGGGCTTCCTCTGTCTATGTTGTGTTGCGGCTATACCACATCCCTTCCAGGCCACTCCCTCTCCCACTACCAACGCAACGCCGATGCCTCTCTCTCCTACACCGCTCTCCCCACCATCATGGAGCAACACGCATCAGCCACCCACTGTTATACTCACCCCTCTTCCATTCCCACTCCTCCCAGGCCACACCCTCCCCTGCTGCCAACGCGGACGCCTCTCTCTCCTACACTGCTCTCCCCACCATCATGGAGCAACACTCCTCAGCCTCAGGCTTCCTCTGGTGTGCTGTGCATGCCTCTTCCCCACTCCCCACTTCCCTCCAGGCCACACCCTCCCCTGCTACCAACACTGATGCTTCTCTCTCCTACACCGCCCTCCCCACCATCATGGAGCAACACGCCTCAGCCTCGGGCTTCCTCTGGCTGGGCGACGAAGCAGTCTTGAACTACTGGGCTGTTGCTGATACCCCCCTTGACAAGGTACAGTGTTTCCCATGCGTCCCATGCTTCCTGCGCTTCTCCTCCTCCTCCTCCTGCTGCTGCTTCGGGCTTCCTCTGGCTGGGCAACAATGCAGTCTTGAACTACTGGGCCGTTGCTGATACCCCCCTTGATAAGGTACAGCGTTTGACGTAAACCCCAAGGCTTAAGCCCTAAGCTTGCAGCCTCGGGCTTCCTCTGGTTGGGCGACGATGCAGTCTTGAACTGTGGGCCATGACCAATACCCCTCTGGGTAAGGTACATTAGTTCCCCAAGTGCCCACCTGGATACATGATGCTGTGGCTTCTGGCCCTTCTTAATACTCCACCCCTCTCCACCCCTCTCCACCCCTCTCCACCCCTCTCCACCCCTCTCCACGCCTCTCCACCCCTCTCCACCTCCCCACAGAACAAAATCTGGTACCTAAACTCTTCCAACACCATCCACCTCCGCACCCTGCTCCTGCTGTCCATTCTTTCTGTCTTTGATTCTATCAACTCACCCTCACAACTCCACCCCCTTCTACCCCCCCCCCCCCAACCCCCCTTCACGTCCCTCCACCCCTCTCCACCCCTCTCCACCTCCCCACAGAACAAAATCTGGTACCTAAACTCTTCCAACCCCAACCACCTCCTCACCCTCCCCCTCGACCAACCGCCCTCCGCACCCATCCGCACCGCTCTGGACCCATCGGATCTCCCCACCCACATCTCCACATCGCTCTCGCACCTCTCTGAATCCCTCCGAGCCCAGCTGGACCGCTCTCTCTGGCCGCGCCACCACTCCTTCCCCCTCGCCGCCTCCCCCTCATCGGCCTTCTTCATTCCACAGCGGCTGGTGGATTCAGCTGCTCTGCACGTCATCCCTGTGTTTGCTGCTGAAGCCATACCCGCACAGGTACGTCTGTGTCCTTGGGTGAAAGGAGGTCCCTTTCCTCTTGCCGCCTGCCCCTCATCGGCCTTCTTCATTCCACAGCGGCTGGTCGACTCTGCTGCTCTCCACACCATCCCTGTCTTTGCCTCTGAAGCCATACCCGCACAGGTACGTATGTGTGTGTCAGTGCTCGTGTCTTTGAGTGATATCAGGTTAATCCCCCCCCCCCCCCCCCCCTCGCCTCATGCCCCTCGCCTCATGCCCCTCGCCGCCTGCCCCTCGCCTCATGCCCCTCGCCTCATGCCCCTCGCCTCATGCCCCTCGCCTCATGCCCCTCGCCTCATGCCCCTCGCCGCCTGCCCCTCGTGGGCTTTCTTCATCCCACAGTGGCTGGTTGATTCAGCAGCGCTCCACGTCATCCCCTTGTTTGCTGCTGAGGCCATACCCGCACAGGTGCGTGTATGCATGTTCCTTCCCTTCCCACCTTGTGTGCCTGAGTGTGAAGGTAGGTACTCTCCCTGCGTGCCTGAGTGTGAAGGTAGGTACCCTCTCTCTGGCCGCGCCACCACTCCTTCCCCCTCGCCGCCTGCCCCTCATCCGCCTTCTTCATTCCACAGCGGCTGGTTGATTCAGCTGCCCTCCACGTCATCCCTGTCTTTGCAGCCGAGGCCATACCTGCACAGGTACGTGTATTCATGTTCCTTTTCACACAGGTGTGCATGAGTGTGAAGGTAGGTACTGTGGCCGCGCCACCACTCCTTCCCCCTTGCCGTCTTCCCCCTTGCCGCCGCCCCCTCATCGGCTTTCTTCATTCCACAGCGGCTGGTTGACTCTGCAGCTCTGCACGGGTACGCATGTGGGTGTGTTTGTTCCTTACCATGGTGCGTGCTTGACTGTGTTCTTGAGTGTGTGGGTCTTTGGGTGGGAGTAGAGGCTGGTTGACTCTACTGCTCTGCACGGCATCCCCGTGTTTACCTCCAAGGCCATACCCGCATAGGTACGCGCAATGTGTGTATTCCACGGTACATTCAAAACAGTACAGCCCCTTTATAGGCTAAAAAAACCCATGATAGAAGATTGATTATGAGACGTCTCAAATCCCAACTTTTACTACGCACAGCCCTTAATAAGCTACGAATTTTACTAATGCGGCATGCCTGCTTCCTGTATTCCCATGTCCACTGTGCTCCTCTGCATCCCCTCATTCCTCCTTCCCAGGTGGCCATTCCTCTTATTCTCTTCACACTCGAACATCCAAAACTTTACGACCCTCGAGGATTTACCGATGCTAGAGTTATAAACCCCCAAGTTAGCCCGGAAACGCAACTGCAACTGCAGCAGCAGGGGCAGCAGGGACAGGGAGGCGGTGTGGGAATGTACACTACAGCAACTACACTTGTTTTACCGTTAGATGTTACGAACCCGGAAGAGAGACACAAGCTTCTTCTTGCGATGCACTCAGGAGATTTTTCGCTAAGTGTGTCGCACTCGGTATGACGTGCTTTGCATGTATGTTAAGTTTGTATCACAGTTCGCTTTTACTGAAATCCCTTGGATACAACTCCCATCCAGTATATCATACGGTGGTCATGTTCTAAACGATAGGGTGTCACATACGGGATGACACATTACTTGTATTTCTCAAGCCGCATTTGTGTACGGTAATCCTCTAAATACAACTCTGTTAGGACCCTTGGACTAAATACGCTAAGGAATAGCGGAGTCAACAAAGTCGAGGATGGAACGCAGCAAAGAAAGAAGCATTGGCGAAGAGGCGAAGAAGTTACTGAGTTGAGATTTGGATGAGAATTAAATGATGTTGGCCAATACAAGCAAGGACTATATAGGCTGCAATAGCAAAAGTAAGTGTGCTTTGGCAGAAGGGATAGACTGGCACGGTAATTTTTTGTTACTGATTACAGCTGCCCCGCACAGTGAACAAACATTGGTAGGTTAGGTTACAGTAGTCGGCTTGTCGTTTCGTCAGTTGTCTTGCACGGAAATCCATCTGACAAAGTAGGGATGCCAAAATACACCCTGTTCTCCGCTACTGTACACTGAACCGCGCAAGAACGCTACTGTTTCTTGGCAGTATTCGGGATTTTCCACTACCGAAATCAGTCAACCGACCCGAGCACGCGGGTGTGCGAGGGGAGGTTTTCAGAATGCAGTTTCCTAGATACCGTAGCCAGCCATTCCAAAATGTCCAAAGACCTTTCGGAAACGTAATAAACCACACTGGATCGCTCTGGTTCAAAAGTTCACTAAAGCGCAGGTGATACCGCGATTTTGTACGGGGTGAGTTTCTAGTAACAGGGAATTCAGTATATCCAAATTCAGTATGGCGAAAAACAGGGTGTACTCACCTGGAGACCATCCCACACCCTACTGTACAATGATCACCATTTATACTTGTGTGAGACAGAAAGTGACGAAGCCTTTGGGGACGAGAATTTTGAATCTGGAATTGGGTCCCTTTCCACTCTGTAACTTTGCGGACGTCGTAACTACAAGCCACGCAGTCGTTGTAATAATTTCTTCGTCCGACTGGTTCGTTTGGTTCGCTACGTGGGATAACAAGTTTTTCCTGAACCGAACTGAAGTACAATGACAATGACATCGAGCTCTCCGCCATGGCTGACCTACGCCCACTGGAATCCCGCATTTCGTGAAGCTGCTTTATCAGTTGACATTGAAACTGTCACCAATGGCATCGCCATCAAACAAGCTTTCAGGAGATGCTCTTTTGGTGTCCATCTAATGGACATTGCATAACATGTTACAATGGCACACCCGGATGCTGATCTGGCAGTCCCTGATTTCATCGCGGCTTTCTCAACATTCAGGTTCCATGATCCTAACGAGTGCTCAATATTACAGTTCTACGACATCGACATTATCAAGACTTATGTTTCTAAGGGCCTGGAACTCCCAGAGCCTAGAGATTGGTTACTCCGAAGGAGCTCAGCTTTCCGGTTCCTTCATAAGCGTTCGTTGCTCAGTTCAGCAGCTCATCATTTCACACTCTCAGACGTCAACGCTACGCTGCTTCTGTATCATCATTGCAACATGCCTCCGAAGGGCTCTAAGATCACCAAGCTGCCGGTTGAAGTGACGGACAATGGGAGTCCTGACATTCCTGGCACTCCTGATGAGCTTATTGATGATGATTCTGATGATGAACTGGAGCTTGATGTGAAGCAGGAAGTGTTGTCGCGTCTTCGCTTCACAGCAATACTGCTGGTTCCTTTCATCCTGAATCAGGAGATGGGGAATGTTATCGCGTCCATACGCACGCTCCTGAAGAAAGTTTGGTCAAAGGATCTGTCGCCAGACAGCGCAGCGTCGTCGTCGATCCAGACGCTTCTGCCTGCTTTCGTCGTGAAGACGAAGTTTTGCCGACTTCAGATCTCTCTCCCGCATGAAGCAGCGGCAAGCCGATCACATTATACTGGCAGCACACGGAAGACGCTGGCTTCGTTAAGGAAAAATCTTTGAACCCGCTTGCTGTTGAAGCTGTTTTAAAAAACGTACCTGCTAACATTTCTCCTCACTTGCTGAGGGACCTGTTGGCTCACTACAAGTTGAAGATCCGCCAACAGCCGCCGTTCCTGGAAGGGAAACATTTTCATCGTGTCCTGCATCCAGTCACGGGAGCTGACACAGAGACAGTGAAGGGTCTGGTTATTCCGCACCCGGGTGATAAGCACAAGTGGAAGCAGGTGGTAAACATTCAGGTGGTCAACATTCCGGCGGATAACGGCAGGAAGCTTCTGGTCCACTACCCTGCGTTATCCTGTTCTCTCTGCGGGGGACATCATTATGAGTCAAATCATGATATGTTCGTCACGGAGCGGCAGAATAACATAGGGAAGTGGAACCTCACTTTGGGGAGGGTGGATAGGATTAATGGTAACATGGATTTCGCTTCTCGTCATTCGTGCTCACCTTCCTTTCTTCGTACTCCTGATCTTACTAACAACCGGCCTTACTGTCACAGCTACTTCCACGCGCACTTCACCGCTTGTTACGTCCATCCTTCTCGATCCCGCAATCGCGCTAATCTCCACGGGCTGCAACAGGGAGGAATGGCTCTGCACACAGTCTGGCTGCAGAAAGGCGAAGGGGAAATCTTTCATGACTGCATCGGATCGCATCACCTCTGCGAACCACCTCCTGCAGCTGGAGACGCTGGGTACTGCCACACGTTCCACCCTCGAGAAGGCCACTCTTGCCTTTCTCAAGAAAGACTACGGTCTTTAGCAGCCTGATCAGCGGCAGCGGCAGTAGTGTTTTCCGTAGTCGGCGTCGTCTCGGTCTTTACCCTATGGATGCGTAGGGGGTCTCAAGTAGTGGTCAAATGAGTAACAAGAATGTATTGTCTTTCGCCTGCCTGAACGTGAATGGGCTCGGAAATGAAACGAAGCAATCATGGGTCACTTCATGGACGAGAGGAGTAGCAGATATCCACATCCTAACAGACACAAGACTCTTAGACAACCACACTTACTGGAGTAAGCTCAGACCCGCAACGGTCCTCACCACCTCGACCCACGAGAGAGCTGGTGGTGTTGCGGGCATTTCGTGGGACCCTGGTATACGGTTTCTAAACACCACAGCTCACCCATCCGGTAGACTCCTCAAGACAGAGGTAGAAGGTAAAGGTCTCAGAGTCACCCTCTTAGCAACTTACTTTTCTGCCTCTCCAGCAGCGCGTACAGCTTTCATTAGAGAGGTAGTAGGCCCGGTGGTAGATCAGGTTAGCCAAGGTGACCATCTTCTCCTCATAGGTGATTTAAACATGATCGAGGGCCCTTTCTTAGATAAGACATCGCACGCGGGATCAGCGGCAGGGAATGAGAAATTAGTCAGAAGGTGCGGAGCTTTTCAAATCTCAGACGCCTTCCGCGTTCTCCACCCGAGCAAGCAAGAGTACACCTTCCTGTCACGGGCGAAGCAGGCCAGCACGCGCATTGACCGTGCCATGATCTCGCAGTCGCTTTTATCCAAACTAACCTTTGTGTCTCATGTCTCTCCAGATGATCCAATCTCGGATCATTCCTTCGCCATCCGCGTTGCCCTTCGCTGCACAGCCAATGCGAAGATTGGTCCAGGGGTTTGGAGGCTTCCTATTCACTCGATCAACAGACCGGGGGTGAGGAAAGTAGTGGAGGCAGCAGTGAATCAGGCTGGGGGTGATTTTGTTTTACTACTGGCGAAGCTGAATGCTGGTCTCAAGGAGTATGCTAAGGAGGAGATTAAAAGGGTAAAAGCGACGCTGCGTCACCTGTCAGATGCGGTGGGGAAGCTGAAGCAGGCGGTTCTGGGTGCACCGGCTTGTCCGCGGTTGCGGGAACTCCTGAAGGTGCGAGAGACACAGCTGAAGGAGTACCAAGCCACTCGCCGTGACAGATTGCATCTGATGGCGGGCTATGGGGAGGAGCTAAAAGGGGAGGTGGTTTCGAAGCATCTCTCTGCAAGAATCAAAACCAGAAAGAAACGCACGCATATCGCGGAGCTCAGGGTGAATGGTGCAGCGGTTAGAGACAGACACGGCATCCTCAAGGAAGCTGCAAATTTCTACACGGGGTTGTTCGGGGCGGACAAGCGCACACACCAGTCCAACTGGTTGCCTGATCGTCGGCTGCCGGCAGCGGAAGCAGAGGAGCTGGTTCGGGATTGGTCAGAGCAGGAGGTCAGGGACGCAATCAATGCTCTTGCATGTGGGAAATCGCCGGGGCTGGATGGCATCCCGAATGAGTTGTTCGAGCTTCATTGGGATCTCCTCGGTGACAGCTTCATGAGGCTCGCCCGCTCCTTCGCGGCCTCGGCGTTGCTTCCTACAAGCACGAAGGAGGCAGTCACGATTTTGCTACACAAGAAGGGTGATAAAGATCTGCTGGCTAACTATCGCCCAATAACATTGCTCAACTTTACCTACAAGGTGCTGGCGAAGGTGGTTGCCGACCGGATGAAGTAGGTGCTTCACCGGGTCATCTCACGTGAACAATATGGCATCATTCCGGGGAGGAGATTGTCGGATGCGGTCAGTCTGGTTGCGGATATCATCGACGCGGCGAACAAGGGGGATAAAGACTGGTTCCTCCTCCTCGTCGATTTTCAAAAGGCCTTTGACACAGTCTCGCGCAGCTTCCTATTCGAAACTCTTGGGAAGATGGGATTCCCTCCGCGGTTTGTGGATTGGGTGAGGGGCGTGCACAAGGACACGCGCACCAGGTTACTTGTCAATGGCTGGAAAAGTGAAGCGCTGGAAGTCATTTCGGGAGTCAGGCAGGGTTGCCCTTTGGCTCCTTACCTTTTCATTTGCGCTGTGGAGCCGCTGGCGCAGGAGGCGGCGAAGCGGCAGCTCGGCACCATTAGCAAATCAGGGCGGAGGCTGCCTTATCTGGGATACGCCGACGACACCACGCTTCTGTCAACGGGAGTGTTGTGTGGCCCCGTCCTCGCTTGGGCGGAGCCGACCTCGTGGTCGGTTGTGCGGGGGGATGCAGCCGACCTGCAGCAGTGGGCACGGGGGCCACTGCAAGGGCGTTGTGTTGGGGGGCGCCTGGCTGGAGGGCGCCGAGCAGGTGGACGCCGTCCTTGGCGTCTGGACGGCGTCCTGGGCGTCTGCTCGGCGTCCTGGGCGCCTAGGCGAGTGGACGCCGACCTGGACGCTAGGACGCCGACCATGGGACGCCGGGATTGATGTAGCCGGCGTCCGACTGGGCTGGGCGACCAGGCGGGGTTGCCCGGTCGACCGGGATACCCGGGCGACATGTGCGAAGGTCGCCGGGGTGGTTTCTGCGAGGATGACCTCGGGGGTGGTATCCCGAGGTCGAAGTGGCTAATGGGCGCCGTCACGGGTGGGAAAGTCTGCGCTGGGCACGTGACGGGGAATCGAGCGCCAACTAGCCGCGCACATCTGCGAAGCAGGTGCACCGTTGTCCTGCGGATGCAACGCTGTGCAGCCGACTTGCTGCAGCGTTGGCGCACCGCAGACTTGCAACGTTGGCGCGCCGCATCTCTGCAGCGCTGGAGCGGTGCGAGCTTTGCTGCGCTGGAACGCGGTCGACCGTGCTGCGCTGGAGGTCGACCAGCAGCCTAGCTAGCTCTGATGTAGTCTGTGTTGCCAACGTTGTTGCTATCATTCTGAACCTTTGTTGTGATGTTTTCCTAGTGGAACTCTTGCCGATTCTCCCCGTGAACTAGCAAGCAGTGTGCGCACAAGGAAACGACTAAGTGAACGAACGCAGAGATCCCTCTCACACACGTGCCTTCCCCGTAGTCAAGCTCCCGTTGTACGAGTTATCTCCGCATGGTGCGGTGAGCGTGGAACGAACACCGCGACGTCACCTTCGATTCAGCCGACTTAGCACTTACCTAGCTTGTTCGTAGACCGGTAGCCGTGTGGTAGTCACTATGGTAGGCGCCGTAGGTGACGCCGGGGTGGTGGACACCCTGGAGGCACGGCTGGAGACTGCGAGGAGACGCCATGAGGCGAAGGAGTTCGGCAACCTACCCTGGGCGGTCGTCGACGCTGGCATTTGCTCCGTGTGGGCGACGGAGCACCCTCCTTCTCGGCCTGCATCTCCTCGACCGGTGAACACCGAGGGCGGCGTCGACGTGGGCGTCAACGCCGGTGGTGACCAAGTCGGCAGCAGTGCGGGAGGCACGTCGTCGAGGCAGCGTGGAGTGATACACGCCGATGAAGTCGGTGGCGTTCAGGCGCGAGGGATGCAGTCGTCGGCGGCTGCAGGGCCCTCGCAAGGTGGCGTCGGAGGCCGACAAAGTGGATTGGCGCCGATGTCGGCGTCACACGTGACAGCAGGAGGGATCGCGCCGAGCTACGGCTACTTCAAGTTTACGCCGGACAGGATCCAGGTCACCCCTCTGCTGGTCGGTCCAACGGACATTCTCACCTGGAAGGAGGCGATCGAGCCCCAGCTGGAGATGGACGGGCTGATCGGCTTCGCTCGCGGGACTGTGGCGACGCCGGAGGAAATCTACCCCTACTAGAGAGCTGAGTTCCGCGCCGTGCAGCTGTTGACCTTCACGGTCATCTCACGGTGCTGCTCGCCGGGCGTGCAGATCGCCTTGAAGTGGTGCAGGGAGTACCTTGACGCCGGGCACCAGGCGTGGCACTTCATCGAGTCGACGTACCAGGTCACCGACGACCTGTACATCGGCCAGCTCGAGGAGCAGATGACGCACCTGCGGATGGGCGAGCAGGAGACGGCGACGGACTACTGCAACCGGGCACGGCGACTTCTCGCCACCATGAGGATGGCCGGCGTGCAGTACTCCACGGCGTCGTATGTCACGCACGTCCTAAAGGGGCTCCCGAGCAGCTACAACCTGCTGAAGCGGCTGTCGGTGGCGCCGAGCACGCGGGCGACACTCAACGATGACTCCCTTACCTCGTATATTCTGCAGGACGAGGCGATGCAGGAGGCCGAGAAGTCCACAGAGCTCCTGCTGCAGGCGAACTACGCCGCCCCGGCGAAGCAAGGTAGCCGACCAGGGCAGCGCGGCAAGCCTGGCAGCGGTGGTAGCGGAGGTGGGAAGCCGGCCAAGGACGCCGACAAGGGTAAGTCGGCGAAGGAAGGCGGTCGCGGAGGAGGAAGTCGGCGTCGGGAGTGCTGGATCTGCCACAGCCCCGACCACCTCTCCTTTGAGTGTCCCGACCGCAGCGAATCCGACGACGACGACGACGCCAAGGGAGGCCGCGGAAGGTCGGCCAGCCGTCGTCCACGTCGAGGAAACCAGCCGCACAAGGAGAAGCAGTCGAACAAGTCGACCTCGGCGAAGGACGCCGACTCCTCTGCTAGCGGCAAGGGGCGAGGCGACGGGGAGGCGTCGTGCTCGCTGGTCGGCGTCGTGGAGCCGACCGTCTCACTGGCGCCAGAGGCCGGTGAGGATTTCCAGGCGTTGGCAGCAGCCGTGCAGGCGAACCCGGCGGTGGTCTTGCTGGACAGCGGCTGCTCGCACCACCTGATGGGGACGAAGGAGGTCTTCGTCGACATGCAGCCGAGCGGCGACGTGAAGCATGTGCGCGGCTTCAATGGGGCGCTGCAGGACGTTCACGGCCGTGGCACGGTTGCGCTGCAAGGGGAGGCCGGGAAGCGGGTGCTCATCCCCGACGTGCTGTACGTTCCGGGCGTGCACGCAAACCTGCTGTCAGCCGGTCAGCTGAAGGAGAACGGTGTGAAGCTGCAGGACGACGGCGATGGCATGCTGCTCGTCTCGGCGTCGGGCGCCGTGCTTGGTCGAGCAACGTACTCCGGCCGGGTTCTCTGCACCGACCTGCGCCCCTGCCCGGCGTCCACTGCGGCGGAAGAAGTTGCCCTGCGGGCCATCGTCTTGGCGACGAAGGCGACGCCGGACATGCTGCACGCGAGACTCGCGCACGTCGGCATGGACGCCATCCTGAGCTCGGCGAAGCACGAGGTTGCCACCGGGCTGGACCTCAAGTCGGCGTCCGGTGCCGCTTCGCCTTGCGTCTCGTGCGTCGGTGGGAAGCTGGCGCGGCACACCTTCCCCGACAAAGGCTCCGACGCCAAGGACGCCCTGGCCGTCGTGCACATCGACCTGTGCAGGCCGTTTCGTGTGGCTGCCAAGGATGGCAGCCTGCTGAAGGACCGCAAGACCCGCTACGTGTGGGTGAGGCCGGTCGCCAAGAAGTCGGACGTGCTGCGGGAGTTCCAGCAGTGGCTGGTGATGGTTGAGCGGCAGACCAAGAAGTCGGTGCTGCAGCTGCACTCTGACCGGGGAGGGGAGTTCCTTGGGAAGGAGTTCACCGCCTTCGTGGATGGCAAGGGGATCGTCCACGACCTGACCTGCCCTTACACCCCGCAGCAGAATGGCATGGCGGAGCGGGAGATGCGGATGGTGGTGGAGTCGGTGCGGTCGATGCTGCTGCACATAGGCGTGTAGCACCACTGGTGGCACCTTGCTCTGCGGCAGGCCGTCTGGGTCCGGAACTGTCTGGAGCGCTCGTCGCTGATGCCGGGGACGACGCCGTACCAGCTGCTCACCGGGAAGAAGCCCGACTTGTCGCTGGCATGAGTGTGGGGCTGCATGGCGCAGTTCCTGGTCCCCGAGCAGCAGCGCAGTGGGAAGCTGAAGCCGAAGGCCAAGTGGGGCCTCCACCTCGGCGTGTCAGAGGAGAGCAAGGGCTGGGAGCTCCTGGACATCGCCGACCACAAAGTGGTCACCACGTCGGACGTGGTGTTCTACGAAACCATGTCCCTAGAAGTGTGGAAGTCGACGCATGGGCCAGCATCGGGGCGGACGCCGGCTACCTCGCCGACGGACTCCTCCACCGCGACACTCCCTCTGCTCGCCGAGGTCGGTGAGCCTGCTGAAGAGGACGTCGAGCAAGTTCTCCCTTCTTCCTCTACCCCTGCCATTCCACCTCCCGTGGCCGTTTTGCATGCGCCGACGCCGACGTCGGCCTCCGGCGATGAGGGGAGCAGTGGGGCGTCGCCTGTGACACCGGCCAAAAGCATCGCCGGTGGCCGAAGTGACGTTCACCAAGTTGGCGTAGACACGGAGCCGCCGAAGGCAGGGGAGCAGCAGGCTGAGGAGGCAACGCCGGGAAAGGTGAAGCCGGCAAAGGGGGCGTCTGCAGGGAAGCCGCCGACAGGGGAGCAGAGTCTGGTGCAGGTGACAGGGGAGTTTACGGCGACGGAGAAGTCGGCTGGGACGCCGGCTTTGGTGCAGCAGGACGCCGAGGACTGCGAAGCCGGCGAAGCTGAAGGGGAGCAGTCGGACGCCGGGCAGTCTACTGACAGCGACGTAGTGGAGGTCTGCGCCGAGCAGCCTGAACTAGGACGTTCAGGCCGAGTCCGGAGGCCGCCGGAGCGGCTAACCTACCATGTCTGCCTCCCGCCGGCAGCCTTCACCACGCTATACGACAATGACGACCTGGCGTACGACGACGCCGAGGACGACGAGGAGTTTCCGGAGCTCGACCCC